ATTATATATATATATATATATTTATATATATATATATTTATATATATATATATTTATATATATATATATTTATATATATACATATATATATTTGTGTGTGTATAAGGCTAATTATTTTTTTGTTCTATTTCTGTAAAATTATGCTCCTAAAACTCCTTTTGTTTTATTAAGATTATATAAGTTCGACCAACACAAAGTAGTAATTTTGAAGAAGAAGGAAAACATCTGCTTTTTAAATTTTCTTATGAAAAAGTCTTACAGTGCAAAAATATCTGCATGTCTTCCGTTCTTTATCAATTCTAATTAAAACAGTCTCTGCAATAAACACATGATATATACCAGGGGTCACCAACCTTTTTAAGGCTGAGGGCTACTTCATGGGTACCGAGTCATAGAAAGGGCTACCACTACTGACCTTTGAACTGAAGGGATCACTGTTTACCTACAGTAAATCTCATCCATAAAAACTCATTTTTATTCTTATTTTATTCTTTTATTCATTTCTAATTTTCTTTTTAATATTGTCATTTTGAAACCACTGAAATATGATGAAATAGTTAACATGATGAAATAATACATAAATGATTAAACAGAAGAGCAACATAATAAAAAAAAAAATTAAACTTAACCCACTGAGTGAGTTCTTCTGTTTTCAGAAGACGAACAGGGCACCCCATGTGGCCCTTGAGGGCCCCTTGGTGCCCGCGGGCATCGCGTTGGTGACCCCTGATATATACCATCCTATTGTAACTCTAGCAGTATATTTCAGATTGCTGTCCTGTAGAACGTCAGCAAGTCTTGAGTCTAGTTTTCTGTCAGGATTGCCTCGTCTCCAACCCTATCTATTTTCCTATAAACTCTGACTAACTTCCACGTAACTCCTTGACAAAACCGCTATTCTTCCAACAACAATTTTCCGCATGGGATAATTTGTTTAGGAAGTTCTTCAAATTGTTTTTTTTTTTTTTCTAAAAAAGTTACATTTTGCTCTTAACTGACCATAATGGGGTCGTCTACATGTTTATCTTGTGCAATATTTGGTATGTTGAAAACTGGGAAAAGTGACTTTTTAGTCACCTTCTGGAACAACTCTGCGTATTTTTTTCTACTTTTCTGTTTAGATCAGGTTTACTGAGAACATTGGAAATTTGCATTTAGACATATTTAGGGAGAGTGAATATGTTGAGATTGCTCCATCATATCTTATGTTTGAAAAGATATGCCTGTAAAGACATAAAGTAGATATAAAATAGATATATAGGTAGAAGACATAAGAAGATATAGAAGACATAAAGTAAATATATAACATTTCTCCTCTGTTGCTTAAACACTTGAATTAGACAGACGTTAAGCTGCAGATCAGTTTAAGATTGACCTTAAATTCAGATAATTTTGAGTTCACTGAGAAAAACGGAGGAAATAGGTCGACTTGGATAAAGGATACAAGCCTGTGGCTGCAGCCAGCAGCCCGTTGGGTCAGAAGATGATGTGTCAGTGTGGACTGTGGACTGCCTTGATCTCCCCCGGAAGTCAAACATAAGCGTGGCCATAGCCATGTCCTGGGAGGCCTCTTCTGCCATCACAGTGAAATGGAACTGGCCTGCAGAGCAAACAAGATCTCTCCCCATCTCATCCCTCTAGCCCAGACCAACGTTGTCTGATTGATGGCTTTTTTTCTGTTGTTCTGTTTGTTTGCTTGTTTGGTCTGCAGCCAATGGATATCAAACATATAGTAAAGAAGGAAAAAAGGTGGAAATGGAGGAAGGGTGGTAAGATGAAGGGGCACGACACAGACCTCCCTTTGAGTTGTGTGTGTTCTGACGAGGAACCTGCAGAGAGTCTACCCAGCACAGCAGCTCAACAAATATACCCAGAATCCAGGATGAAGCGGGTAGAATAAAGGTTGCTTTCTGATGCTTCTATACACGTCTTTTAGTTTTTAACATGTGAAGTGAAGGGGTCATTTGATGAATAAAAAGGTTAATTTCATCTGACTGGAAACAGTTTGGAGAGGATTTCAAACTGTATGAAAATCTGTTTTCCATCCATCTTAATTATTTAAATTTTGTTCTGATCCAGTAAAGTGTTTTTAATTGAAAGTAATAAAATTCACCCCCTTTTTTTTAACTGTTTCCTCCACATATTAGCTGGAAAAATCAACATAGAGTGACACCTTGTGGTAGTAAAGAGAACTGTTTTTCTTTTATATATTTTACAGCAATAGTTTCCTAAATTGAGGTCTGTGAAGAAGGTGGATTATCAAGTGGGACAGGATCAATAGGAAATTAAATTGAGCTTAGTCTGTTAAGTCTTTCATTTACCACATGTAGTGCAATGGGATAGTTAATGGACTGGCAAACTATAAATAGAACATCTTGGTGGTTTTTGTCAACATTGTATGTTTGCATCTCTTCCATAAATCTCTAAATTTTGTAGAGTGCATAAAAATTAGTTCTACTTTGAAAGCCTTTCATTTCAGTGTATCTTTTTATTTATTTTTTATTTTACAGGGGGAAAGAATTTCCACATGATGAGATTATTAGCCAGCTCCATGCTTTAAGGTCTCTCTGATAGTCTATGTTTTTGGGTGAAACATAAAACAAGGCATCTAATGGACACCTAGGTTACATCAGTAACATCACATTATTAAGAGTTATCAGCTGAAGCTTCCATAAAAGATGTGAAGAACATTTCTGTCGGGAAGATTTCAGGCTGACCTCTGTAACTACTATGAGATGCTTTCTATACTGTGAATCATGAGCTGCACCAAACTCATCTATTTAATATTACAAATGTATAAATAAAGTATGTATATATACACACATACATATATATATATATGTATATGTATATATACATATATATATATATATGTATATATACATGTATAGAATTTCAAGTCTCTCTCTCTCTATATATACATATATATATATATATATATATACACACATGTCTATATATGTATTTGTGTATATATGTACATATATATACTACATATAGACTTCCTATTATGTATATATATGTATATACATGATGTCAAATCTATATACAGTATATATATTATATATATGTGTGTGTGTTTACGTATGTGTCTATATACTATATCTATACATTTGTAATATTAAACAGGTGACTTTAGTGCAGCTCATGATTCACAGTATATAAAGCAATCTCTCTCTCTCTCTCTCTCTCTATATATATATATATATGTACATACATGTACATATATATATATATGTATATATTCTACAGACATATGTATAGATATTCTATATACCCTTTTCACTGATTTGATATTGCAGTTAATAAAAACATTTACCAATTAAAGGATTTCTGATCTAACATGTCTGACAGAATATAAGAATGAATTCTTAGAATTCAACTTTGTCATTACGTTGTCACAAGTACAGAGCAAAGAAATTCACTCTGCATTTAACCCATCCCTTGGGAAGCAGTGGGCTGCCATAGTGCGGCACCCGCGGAGCAGTCTGGGGGTTAAGGGTCTTGCTCTGGGACCGAGTAGCAGTCTGTGGGAGTGGCAACCTCTGGATTATAGACTCAGCATGCTTCCACTGCGCCACTCTGCCTGCCTAACAATGTGAAGTACTTTTATGTTTCCAACCAATCTTCCATTTGTCTCAAAGGCAAATTTACTCTTATAATATGGCTGACTTGCTGACACTGGTCCTGCAGGAGGGCAAAGCTAAAACAGCTTCTGCTTTCCCGTTTCTATTAATCTCAAGGCAGTCGTCAGCCACCTTTACCTTTTAAAGAGACATCCTTGCTTTGTCATTCCAAAGGAAGTATTTTATCAGTCTGGAGCCAAAAAGTAGCAGCACTCAGTGAAAAAGCAAAATGTTTCTGGTTGTTCTATTTACCTGCAACAGAAATATAGTTTGTTTCATTGATTGAATCAAGAAATTGTTATATCTGTTTTTAGAAATAAAACATAGAAAGATAAATTACAACAAAATTAGATGTATTTTCTTGAACACTAACTTAATAAATATAGAACACAGGAAAGAGATTATGTAGCCTATTGGTCTAAAAATGTTTCCTATTAAAATAAGGTAAACAAAAAAAAACACGTCATTTACAGGGTTAGTTTAGTGCTTGAAAACAAATATGCAGAAACTGCTAAAACACAGAAAAACTTTGGAGAATCTCATAAACTTTAGAGGCTATCTACTTACTGCCTGTTGAGACATACCAGTAAAGCAAATTCAGTGTTCAACAATCACAAATGTAAACATACGTGGGACTATGCTTATTTTTACTGGAACATCCAATACAAATACGTCTCATTGGTGAGAAGAGCTTTTTTGGCAAAAAACTATTGGGTTTGGAGTTAAACAAAGGTTGAGCAGATTATCCATCATGCTGAGGGTCTGTTTACCTTCCAAAGGCATCCTGAACTCTGCATAATACCAGATCTGAGACAAAAATGGACAATTGGTTGAAACAGTTTAACAGGAAAATGATCCAAGACAGGATGATGACCCAAAGGATTTCTTAAAATTCAGTCCATAAATGGTTTATACTGGAGAAAAAATTATTATTCCTTCATATCTGTTTCCACTCTCAGGCCTAAATGAAATGGGTGAGCTGAGTAGAGCAAAATGACTGATCCTGACTCTGCATGGAGAGAACTGAAGACAAAAGTCAGAATATTCATATTTTGACATGTAGAGGTCAACAAATATGTGAATAAAACAAAGAAATAAAAGAAAACACCAGTTCAAACCTTACCTTTAAACGAATGGGTTCATTCAAAACAAATGTCTGCAAAAAGGCTATTTTATTCAAAACGACACTTTCTTAAACCAAACAAACTTTTCATTATGAGGGATTTCAAAGTCGTCCTCAAACCTCTTCTGTTCCCATTTATTCTTTGTCATTAGAGGCGAGCAGATGGTTCTGCTTACTGCGGAGCTACAATCGCACCCAGCTGCTGAAATACAACATAACACTATGAAGCATCTCACACACACGGTGCAAACTTCAGCTGTTCATCGTCTGATGGCAATTTTTTTAATAAGAAGACATTTTGGTTTTATTTTATCAGGTAAGTACTGAAATATACAAAACATGGACACCTGCCAATCCAGTGGCAACAGTAGAATAGGAAAAATGACATATGAAACCGGAACACGCTCCCAAACCAAACAAATGGAACACAAAGTACAAAACTGGGGTATGAATTCCTGAACTCTACTCTAATCATACCAAAGTTTATCTCTATTAACGTTGATTCCTCCGAGACAAAATTTAGAAAAGGTCCAGAGAAGATAAAAAAGGAAGGACTCTGGGAACATTATTCAGGTATCAACAGATTCCTGCTGAGCAGTAAAAAGTCTTTTCCAGAATCTGCAAAAAAAAGAAAAAACAGGAAAAAAGAAAAAAAGGGAATGCAGTAACTTGAGAGCTTGCTTTAAACTCATCTTTGCAGTTTGCATGTCCATAGTTCTGGTTTGCACAAAGAAATTCACAATAACGAATAAATAAAACAGTTTGGAACAACATTTTTAGTGTGATCGACGCTCTCCTTTCTGCAGGGGAAGGTTGATCACACTTTCACACTATTAGCTGCCACCGTCAAACCTGAAAACACTGATAATTCCTGCAGCTGATTCCATGTGAGCTGCAAAGACTTTCCACTGATTGCTTGGACACCATTTGCTTTCTGTAGCAGCGAATAGTGTTTCTATTCAGTCGCTATTCTCTGTAGTTGTTTAGTACAACAACCTCCAACAGCTAGAAAATAAATGAAAGGAAAAACATGCAGGTGATGGTTCCAGTTCATGCCGAAGGACAAACAGATCAGAAAAGTTTAATTCTCAGACTGTTAATCCCTTGTGGAAGGTGCCCTTTACTTCTGATGTAAGACTTTGGTCATCTCCTCTCTGTCCTTACTGAGATTTTCTAAGCACTGTTTACGTATCAGGTTCAATTTTTGGCTTGAGTTTGTCCTGATGGAAAAAAAAATATCACAACTAGGCAAATCCAGGGAATGTTTTACCAGTCGTTTTAGAAAAGAGGAAGCTCCACTTTGTCTTTTAATGCGTTTCTTTGACACGCATCTTCGCCTCCATGTCGTGCTACAAAATAAGTTGGGGTATTCCCAACTCTAAAAGTTCCTGACCTGAAGCTCTCCACTGGTCCAGCTCCGCTCTGCTGCCTTAACAGTTCTGGGTGGGGAACCTGCCGCTCCCAAAGCTTTCACTTAGTCATTTTTTTTTTTTAAGTCCCAGGTGACATCCCCATTCCTCTACGCAGTGAAGCTGGCTGACCACTAGGGGTCCTCCTCCATGTCGTCTAAGTTGGGAGCCATGATGAAGTGTTTAGGGTAAGGGAGGTTGTGCTCGTCTGCATACTCCTCCCAACGCGCGTCGTCACTCTCGTGGGTGATGTAGCGCTCGCCTCTCCGTGTTTCAAACTCCCTAAGGTCCAGCCACGTCTGGTAATCCTGGAAAAAAATCACGCCCAGCTTTAAGGCGCTGTTGCTACCTTATTATCATTCCGTAAAAATTCAAAAAATATCCACTGGACTTGGTTTTCAAGATTTGAAGACGTTTCGCCACCTCTCCAGGAAGCTTTCTCAATTCAAATGTCTGGATCCGCAGTGAGTTTGAGTCTTATATAGACAACGCCTTGTATCGCTTGGAAACATGCAATAGAAACCGATGAATGGGTCGTTAGTTCCATCGTTAGCCTGTAATATCTGAAACTGTCTATGATTCTAGGGGTCGGTCGTTAAAGGGGGGATTGTCATTAAGGGGGGGATTGTCTCCTGTAATACCTGAAACCTGTCTATGATTGTTAAGGGTTGATCGTTAAGGAGGTATTGTTCACCGGCTGGAGCGGGTAAGTCCCTCGTTCCTCTGTGATGGGGTGGGGGGTTTGGTGATATCTGGAAGGGATCATGTCTATGATTGAATTGTATGTTTTTGGAAGCTGGAATCTCAGTCCACCACCTCTGTTTAAAGTTGGTTTTTCTCTCTTAACATAGATTGCTTCCTTCACGCCCATCTCAAACCACCTATTTTCTTTATCCAGAATATGGACATTCTGGTCCTCAAAAGAATGTCCTTTGTCCACAAGGTGTAGGTGTACTGCGGAGTCTTGTCCAGAGGTGGCCGCTCTTCTGTGTTGGGCCATGCGTCTGTGGAGAGGTTGTTTGGTTTCTCCAATATAAAGATCAGAGCATTCCTCACTGCACTGAACAGCATATACCACTCCGCTCATATTTGGTCTGGGGGTTTTATCTTTCGGATGCACTAGCCTCTGTTTAAGGGTTTGGTTTGGCTTGAAATGTACTGGGATCTTGTGTTTGGAGAAAATCCTCTTGAGCTTTTCAGACACTCCAGCAACATAAGGGATTGTGATGTTTTTGCGTTTAATTTTCCCATCGCTGTCTTCTGTTGCGTGTCTTTTGGATTTCCTTGCTGATTTGATAAAAGCCCAGTTTGGATATCCACAGTTTCGGAGAGCATCTTTGATGTGTTTCTGTTCTTTTTGCTTCCCATCTGTTTTAGTGGGGACATGTTCTGCCCGGTGTTGTAAGGTTCTGATGACTGAGAGTTTGTGTTCCAGTGGGTGGTGTGAGTCAAAAAGAAGATACTGGTCTGTGTGAGTTGGTTTCCTATAAACTTCAATGTTTAGGCTTCCATCTCCAAGCGTTTCCAAGCGATACAAGGCGTTGTCTATATAAGACTCAAACTCACTGCGGATCCAGACATTTGAATTGAGAAAGCTTCCTGGAGAGGTGGCGAAACGTCTTCAAATCTTGAAAACCAAGTCCAGTGGATATTTTTTGAATTTTTACGGAATGACTATGACCTGGATGACTGAGAACCTTCATCAGCTTATTATCATTCTGTCAACTTTGTGAAATGCTTATTTAAATAGAAAAAATAAAATAGAAGGTGTTACCTGTAACCAGGGATGGCTGAGACATTTGTCCACGCTGTACCTCTTCCTCATCTTGACTTGGAGAAGATTGTTGATCAGGTCTGTGGCTGTGGCAGAAAGATATGTGGATCAGACTTCATTATATTTAATAACTTTTCACAGCCTTGAACTTTATCACATTTTTTGTCCATAAGAACTACAGATATGTATTTTATTGGTAAAGCTTTAAGGTATAGCATCCATATAGTTAGTTTGAAACCTTTAAATAAAAGTGAAACTTATTGAACTCTCTAACGTTCTGCTCTCTCTGATTTTTCTCATGGTAGCTTCACTTCGTCTGTTTCTGTTTGGCAGTGACTCCATCCTGGAGAGAAATATCAGCTGTGCTGCTGCCATCAACACCTTTGTTTATAGATGTTGGAGATCTGCCTGTTTTCCAGTGTAGTCCTGTTTCTCTGACTGTGACTAACTGGATGTGCTTCATCTTCTGGCATGGGAGCTGGCTCAGAGCTCGTCTGCCTGGTTGTGTGTTTCCTGGAGGGGCCGCCTTTTACAGTTACTTTTTGTGTCTCTGCTTCTGTCTCCTTGAACCCCAGTCGGCCTCAGCAGATGGCCGCTCACACTGAGCCTGGTTCTGCTGGAGGTTTCCTTCCTTTAAAAGGGAGTTTTTCCTCTCCACTGTCGCTACAAGCATGCTTAGTGTGAGGGATTGCCTTTGGGTCAAAGAGTCGATCCAATCAACTGGTTTTCCTTAGATTAGGGCTGCAACTAACGATTATTTTGAAAATCGATGAATCGGCCGATTATTTTTTCGATTAATCGATGAATCGGACACAAAATATTTTTTTTATATTAACCTCTTTATTCCAAAATAAACATTTTAGACAGAACAAACAAGCACACAAGTACAGGTTTCTCATTAACTGTACTGGTGCAATATGAAAAATAAATGTTTGTTTTAAAACTACGCAAACTTACATGAGAAATGTAGCTGTACATCCACAAAATATAGGGTACTTTGTTTCATAAAGCGCAAAAAGAGACAGGCATTTTTGTTTTTTAAAGCCCCTAAGGGGTTCAAACAATAGGCCCCCCCATTTCAACAAATGAGGTTTTTTTAGACTAGAAGAGTTCTGCCTTTTAAGACAGGAAAGTATAGCAGTTAAAGTTGCTACTTGAGAAAATACTGAACCATAGAGATAAAAATAGCCCTGTGATTCAAATTATAAACTGTATTTGGAATAAAAATGAGAGAACTAGGGGTGCTAAAAAACACATCCTCCAAAGACAGATATTTACATGGGAATGTGGCATATACTTAATTGACATATTACTGATCTTGCTGGATTTTATTCTGCTTTACTTCCATAAATTGCAGGATCTTCTTTACTTTATCTTTGCCAGAAGATTTAAACTTTAAAAGCCTTGCCCTCATAATTTGCAAATTAATTTATTTATAAAGAAAATATAAACGCTGCTTAAGCTAATTCAAATGAAATTAAAAGTAAAATAAGTAGCCAACCTTATCACTGTCTGTAACCTACTAACACGGTAAGGAAAGCATCAGATGAGCTACCTGAGAAACTAACTTACGTTTCCCCACTTTAAAATGAAACAAACATGGTTACTCATCCTGCTGATCAGCTCTCTTCACTGCCATTGAAGGCTCCAACATGTTTTCTTTTCAGGTGCTGCGTCATAACAGTGGTGCTTCCGTGCCATGTTTATTTGTTTTTACAAAAGTCGCGTGTTACGACTTTTTTCACTTTACAAAGCGCAGGCTATTTTAATTATTGTGATCAATTTGCGCCGTCAATCCCGGGGCATGCGCGCTTCATTTGCAGTCTGGACGCTGAGGTTAAACTCCTCACTAAAATCCTGCGGCTCGGACTGCAGCGCTGAGAGGGATTCTTGTGGGAGAGGGAGAAAGGCGTTGGGATGGGGGAGGCGCCCCACGGCAGCAGCTGCCGCTGGAGGACAAGAGTAGGAACGATACATGCTTTCACGTAAGAGTCTCCAAAAGCCGCCAGTGACACCGTAAAAAGTCGCCAGATTTGTCGCTAGTCGCTTTTTAAAAAAAATAGTCGCTGGAGGGGTCTGAAAAGTCGCTGAGTTGGCAACACTGCAACTGCGGCGCTGACTCGCTCCGCCATATTTTTTTTTCTTCCCCGGGATGACGGCGGCGGCGGATGACGCATTAATCGCGCGACACAACTAATCGATGATTAAATTCGTTGCCAACGCTTTTAAAAGTCGATTTTTATCGATTTTATCGATTCGTTGTTGCAGCCCTACCTTAGATAGAAAACTTTGAATCAATTTGACTGTATGATCTGGTGAACTGTAAAGTGCCTTGAGATGACATGTGTTGTGAATTGGCGTTATATAAATAAACTGAATTTAATTGAATTAAATTAAACCTTCTGCAGGGAGATCAGAGCCTATTTTACCTTCCTTATTTCCCACTGGATAGAATGAAAAGCACCTAAAGGTAGATCTGCTATATTAATTAATCTTTTTAATGATAACTTCCTCCAGTGTTTATTTTATTTCATTTGGAATCTATTTCATTTGATAAAACCCACAGACTGAAGTACAGATTATAAAATATGAAGGTTCCTCTGTCAACAAAAGTAAAACATCACTTATTCTATGTCTAATGAAACTGAGATGCTTTCAACAATGTTAAGGAAATATACATGCTGTCAGCATGACTTCCTGCTGCCCTGATTCTTAGCTCCAACACTCGGCCTAGAAGAGCAGTTAGAATCGGGTAAATAAAATATGACATCATCTTATACAGCAATACTACCTGCAGGATCAGACACTGGATACTGAATATGTACCTGTGTTTTAATGAGGTTTTTCAACAAAAAAAAGCTCCATGTGAGAGTGTCACTCTGTGAGATACAAAGTTCATAGGTCTGATAACTATTTGAATAAGTGAAATTTAATGAAGTTCAGAACATTTAATCCAGACAAAGCTCTGGTTAGCCAGCTTATTTATAACATTAAAAATAACCTTTTGTTATCCCACTTCTTGAATTAACGAAAAGAAGAAATTATGATTGAGAATCAATTGGAAAGGGAATGTTAACAAGGAATCTGATTCGTTCAAATTCAGATGATTTCCAAATCTATTTTTATTGGTTCCTGATCATTCCTGCTTTATTTCATCAAAGTTTGAGCTGTTTCAAAAAGGACGAACCTCAAAACTTCAATAAAATACATTTTAAGTTTGTGATTGGATACAGAAAATGTGGAAAAGATTTTACTGCACATAAACTAAAAATCAGGCCAGATATCATCTTAAACAAACCTTTTAACACAGTTTACAGGGTTTTGTGACCTTTCCATAGAGATAAAAGAATTCACTAAACATTAACACCATTCCTGTGGTGAACTGTACGTAGGAGGAGCTACAGCACGGACAGTTGAGAAGAAATGAAAGTGATTCATTTTAACCACAGACAGACAAACCCAGCCATTAAAATGTTCACATGACCCAGACGTGTGGGTGGGGAGGAAGACTTCATCTGAATTTCAGTTTGACAATACAGGTGCAACCAGGCCTGCAGCTATTTACAGAGGTGAAGCCCAGAATAAATGAAGCCTCGGTAAATTCCAAACTGAAGGGAGAAATTGAAGAGAAATTCTGCTGTGTGTCCACCTACCCTCAGCAGAGATGTCCTTCCAGGGTGTTGGGGGGTACATGAAGGCAGCGTTCTGAATCTGATCATTAATGTCTTCGTCTTCATTAAAAGGGAAGGTTCCACTCAAGCTGACGTAGATGATGACTCCCACTGACCACATGTCTAATGACCGGTTGTAGCCTTTGCTCCGCAGCACCTCTGGGGCCAGGTAAGCTGGGGTTCCAACAACCGATCGCCGGAACGACTTCTCACCAATGATACGAGCGAAGCCAAAGTCACAGAGCTTCACCTGAAAAACAGCAGGAAAATGAATGACTAATTGATTTTTTTTTTTCGAGAAGGAATAAGATGCAGATCTTAGATGATAAAACTGCCCAGAGTCACATATTAAAACTCTCCTCAAAAACCTCACCAAAAAAACTTGAATTGTTAAAAAACAAAACAAAGAGAAATTATGTTTACTTCATGTCTGGTGGATTGGTGCAGATTTGGCAACATGTTTTGGGTTGTTGTCATGGTGACACTCCTAATGATGACCAGCGACCAACTTTTAAATAGATCCCAGGAAATTTGGAATAGAAACTGGCCCATATATCACTGATCCCCTACTATAATTCCATTCAGTTTATTTATGTAGAGCTAATTCACAACACTTTACAGTTCACCAGATCATCCAGTCAAATTAATTCAAAGTTTTCTATCTAAGGAAAACCAGTTGATTGCATCGACTCATAGACTTGAAGGCAATCCCTCACACTAAGCATGCTTCTAGCGACAGTGGAGAGGAAAAACTCCCTTTTAACAGGAAGAAACCTCCAGCAGAACCAGGCTCAGTGTGAGCGGCCATCTGCCGAGGCTAACTGGGGTTCAAGGAGACACAGAGATACAAAACGCAACCTTAAAAGGCGACCCCTTGTGTATACAATACACATTGATCCCGCTACAGGAATTCTCCCTCATCAAAGATTGATTTCTTTGTTTTTTAACTTAGTGTGTGATTATTATATCGCAATGAAGATTGTCATTTACATAGACTTTGGTGGGATATCTTGAAGGAGTCCAGATCAATACTTCTCCTGACTTTCTGAAGGTGTATTAATAGATTTTGTTGGCCTTCAGCTGTATTTTTCTCTTCTTTAAGCGCCACCAATGGAGTTTAACATATTGTATCCTGACACAAACCTTACCTATGCATGATTCAACATATTGATACCACATTGTTCAGAAGATTCCTATTGGTACCGTGTAGCTAAAGATCAGGAAACATTATCTTTAATATTTTTACAGATTCAGCAACAGAAATAGGATCAAGTTGTGTTCTTGAGATGGTGCTTAAGAACCTGATATGAAATTGCTATTAAAAGACCAAAGGATCGATAGATCTGTTTTAATTTATAAAATTGATTAAAGTCATAGGGAAGCGGCTGTTCCAATGGTAGCATTACCGAATTCTGCAGATTGGTGCACGACTTTACACGGGTGAATAAAGTGAATGTGATTGGTTGTTTATAAAAGGGGGCAGGATTGTTGTGGCGGAAGGTTCGTAAGCAAGTTTGGTTGTGGCCGGTTTGTTGGAAGCCTCTTGCTAACCAGTTAGCAACTTAGTGCTAGTAGGTTCCCAATGGGAAATTCCATTGGGACCAATGAGCACTAAATTGGTGACTTAGCTCCGACACTGTCAAGGAACGCTATGGACAGCGGAAACATGCAAGAGGAGGAGAGTTTTGTGTCAGAGGTCATGGATGAGTCTCCTCCGTCATACATTTTTTATTTAGAGGAGGAAAGCGGGGACGAAGATGTTGTGGAAAAGGACGCCAGGGCGGCAGAAGCTTGGTTTGGTGTAGAAGGCTTACAGCCGTACATGTTTGAGCCCTTGCCTCGCAACGCTGCCAGCTGTGTTAGCTCTACGCCTGCCGAAGACACGATTGACAGACCGTTGATATATGATTGGCCGAATTTGGTGTTCAGGCTGAGGTATAACTAAATGGCCTGCATAAGATAATGAAAAAAAAACGACACAGATTTTAAGACAGGATTTTTTAAAAATAGCAATTTTCTTTTGGGACAATTTTGTCTAATAAATAGTACATTTACATACATGTTTTATGCAGAATGATTTGACATTTAAATATGACTTCCCTATGACTTTAAAAAGGGAGTGTTGACCATTTAGAAGAGTAAAAAAAAATCCTGGTTCTACAGACATCATGGCAACAGATATTGCAGACATAAAACATTTATCTTTACTACCTGTGGAAAAGGCTCTGCAGAGGCCAGTAGTACATTTTCAGGCTTCAAGTCACAGTGCACAATGTTTTTGAAGTGCAGATGCCTCAAGGCCACCAGGATCTGTTGTGAGAATTCAATCAGTTACCACAAACATATTTAGCACAGCTTTATAACCATAGACAATATTATTTCATTGCTTAAATGAATTACATCGTGCTTAGTTATTGAGGAAGATCTGTTATTCAGTCTCAGGAACAAGTAGCTGTGATTTGAGCATACCGATGACCCTAAATACTTCCACATTGCACGGCATCATCTCATCTATATTCACCAGATCCTTGCATAAACCCCGGCTGTACAAATTTCAGCCTGTGGCTCTTAACCAAAACCACAATTCACTCATTCCCCAAATCCCGGCCTTGGCTCTGCATGTCCTCGCGGCCACATCTGAGCCAGGCCCCGCTGCAGCTAATGGGGCCTTGGTTAATGGCCCCTGCTGCTGTTTGGGACCCCAAACCCAACCAGACCCCAGGCCCCACTGCTCCTCTAATCAGGCCAAAGAGCCTCCAGCACTCTGCAGGCTGTAATCGGCAGCCATGCAGGAGGCTGTGATTCCGTGTGGCTCAGTGCCATATAAACATATCCACCCAATCAGAACCCTACAACAAGGATAAACAGCCCCTGAAGCTGGAGGAGAAGGTCATCACAGCCGAAAGAAAAGATAGAGAATTCAATAAGATGATGGATCAAAACAGGCAAATGGGAGTTAGAAGAATATAGAGCAGCAGTCATTCAAAATGGCCCTTCCCAGTCAAACGCCAGTCGAATGGCAGCCAAATTCCAGCCACTAAATGACCCCTCCTTCTCCTGGACATGCATATTTTTTTACTCTGATTCCACCCTTTTAGTGAATTACAGGGTCTGACCAGGAGATGAAGCTTCTCTTTAGATCTTAATATCCACAAATAATGACAGAATGAATATTTTTGTACAAAGATTGATATTTAAAAAAGGAATTTTAGGGGACCAGCCAAGAGCCCATCAAGCAAAGTGGGGAAATGTTGAATGGCTACTACGGTAAGCAGTACAGTACAGTACTGCATATTCAGCACGACGCTCTGATGCGATCTACCTGCTCACACTGTACGTCTAAAAACCACGTCGGACTCAGCTCCGCAGTGAGATGGCGCTACTCGGACTTGTAAGTAAAGGCAATAACATATTTGGACAAAGACATGGCTAAGCAAACATGGCTACTACGGTCTGTCAATTTTACGGACAGAACTCCATTTCACTCATCGCACCCTCGCCATGCTTCTGTGTTTTCATCTGAGAGGAAGAAGAAGAATCCTTGTTTGCTAACTGAGCGATTTGCCCACAACGGCCGACTGAAAATCAAACATATTTAATTTTCTCCCGACCTCACGATTCCTGATCAGGAGGTGGTCATGAGAGGTTGATCGCCCCCCGTTACCCCCTGTACGCTACACGACGCATGATCAGGCTGGAAGTCGGTCCGATCGAAAAATTCTCGCACGACTGGAAAAATTGGTCGGAAAAGGGCAAAAAAAAAAATTCGCACAGCGTAAGCCCGGCTTTAAATACTTTACAGAGCAGCTTATAGAGAATTATTAGCGAGCACATAAATAAACAGAACTGTGAACGTAAAGCTGTGAAAGAAAGATCCTGGTTTAAGCAGCACAAACCTGAGTGACGAGGAATTTGGTGATCCGTTCCGGTAGTTTGCTCTTTTCACTGGACAGAATCATCTCCAGCATGTCTCCATGCAGCTTCTCCATGACCACAAACACTCGCTCAGGAGTTTCAAACATACACTCCAGGTTAACGATTCCTGGATGATGTAGATTCTAAAACAAAAAAGGATGGGATTTTATTCAGCATTTAAATCTAAGATCCTTTAAGGTCTCTATTAATGTACCGAGTCCTTCATCACCTGTAAAATGGCCACCTCATTCCTTAGCTGGCTTTCCTGCTTGGTAGGAAATCTCATCTTGTCAATAACCTTGATGGCAACGTCTCTGCCGCTCTTTCTATGCTTCCCTAAAACATGAAAGGAAGCCCACATTATGGGATTTAATACAAAAGTAAATCAAACTTGACATGACAGGTGACTAACGGTGAAACCTACCTCCATACACAATGCCAAACTGGCCTGATCCCAGCACCTCATCAGAGAATATTTGATACACTGAGGCAATATCCTGCAAAGATATGGTTTGAACTGTTACTTATTGCTGCTTTTAGCTTGTGGAAAAAGCCACCTCTCTCTACTGAAGTTGGACTCATCAGCAATTCCATCATCTACGGTTTGGCAAAACTCGTTCTTTTCCCAAATGTTTTCGGGAAAAGACAAATATTGCCAAATATTTAACTTTCACTCAGTGCAGAAGTGGAACTAAATCGAAAACCCCATGACCAAAAAGGATGAGGGAAAAAAAGGAAAATGCAGGTTCCTCATTTGTGTTGAGAAGAAAAAAAATCCACTTGATGTTTTAATAAAAGCAAGGGTAAGATACAATTTCTGGTTTAACCACATCAGCTACTTTGCTAGCTTATATATGCATACACTTGCAAGCTGTGCTGGGAAATTGTGCAACTGCTTCTGGTAGAAATACAAAAAAATAATCTCCACTTACCACATTCTCCTGGATCTGGCAGTTGGACACAGATATGCTGATGGACAGCTCTTCTGAAAGAGGGAAACAAATGATTTAATTTCCACCACAAAGCACTAAAGACACAATTTTCCACATGCATTAAGCAACAAGTAAATCAGTGAATATTTAAAGTTTGTGGTAAATTCGTCACATTCCAGTTTTTCTCTTTTATCTTCCTGTGAGCATCCTATTCCAGACTATTGAAAAAAGAAAAATTCAAGTATGATTTTAAGAACTGAATCTTCTGGCTCCCAATGGAATCACAGTTTAATGTTTAATGTTCAGGTCTGACAAAATTCCCATTTACTGATTATTAAGAATGAATTACTAACCTAGACATAAACTCCTCCTCATTTGTTAAAAATCTATTTGAATTTTCATTAAGTGGTTTAATTGTTGATGTCAGCGGTTGATTGTCTCAAGGTTTTATTTATTTAAGTGATTCACCTCTAATTGGCATTAGATTTAAAATTGCTTTAGATTAAATTTGCTTTCTCCGTGTATATATATATAGACTGTATATATACACACTGATATATATGTGTGTATATATATATCTATATATATATATAGATATATATATATATTTATGTATATGTGTGTGTGTGTGTGTTCATACACTTTTGCATTGCAGTGTCTTAACTTTTTTCACTTTTTGCAAATTAAATAATAGTAGGAATACAGAAGCAAATTATCATAAAATGCTCACACATCACATATCTTCAATTATAATTTATTTAATCAGTTCTTGTGTTGATTCTGAAGCTTTTTTGACCCAATTAATAACGCAAAATAATAGATAGTTTTCCTGCTGGCAAATGCACATTATGTAATTGAGTCATAAAAACAAGTCCCTTGAAACATAAAAAATACCTAATTCTTCGTATGTTATGTTGGGTAGAAAAAGGGAATTAGAAGATGGTGTTATTGGTTAAATAGAGGACCTATATACCAATATGTACCACAAGAAAATCCAGGACAAAATTAACTGCAATGGTTCAAAATCACAAAAAGTTCTTAAATGACAAAGAGAAAAACAAAATAAACAACAACTACAATAAAAAAAAAGTTTTTATTAAAGAAAAGAGGTCATTAAATGTGCCTCTTGCAAATATCTTAATTCTTTCATTCCTAGCAATCTTATTCAAGTAAAATCTCAAAAACTGGCTTTAAAAAAACTCAAAAATAGAGTAGATTATGCTTTCATTGTTGCATCGACTATTATTCCTCAAACAGCATGTAAATAAATCCAACGTTTCACTGGTATATTATGTTTATTTATAAATAACAGCAGTTCTGGTGTCCTATAAGTTATTCAAACACATAAACAAGTTCTTCAGATAAAAATGATAGAGTCACTGCTTTTATTTGATAGATTCATACACTTTGCTGAATGCTTTGCAGTGCCTTTTATCTATTTGCACTTTTTTATCCTTTATTTTTCCTTTCTCCTGAAGTTCAGTTGGATATCAAAATAAGATTATTTGTAACAATAAAAGTAAAAATCAAATAAAATGGACATCGATTGCTTTGATTCTTTAAAAAGTTCTGTTTCCATTTGGTCATGTGACTCTACTTTTAAACCGTTTTATCTCCAAACAATGACTTCACCGTCTTGCTTCCTTCGGACTAAACACAGGAGCACAGCAGGGTTTTCCCTCAGAGTTTCAACACTCATAACGTGAGTAACATTATTAATTTGACACAGAGCAATGGTGAGATAGCAAAAAAAAAAAAAAAAGAGAAAATCCTGCAAGCTGCTGAAACCGAAAACTTCAGAGTGGGCAGAAAGCAAAGATCAGCGTGCAAAACATTAAAATCTCCTTACTGTGATCTCTTCCCTGGCCGGCTGCGCTGGCCACACTCGGCTGAGGGGTGACGGGCATCAGGGCCTGTCTGATGGCCTTCTCCCAGCCCTGGGCCACCTCCACACCCACTCCAGAGGCAGCTAGTGCAGGGCTGTGGTAGTGGCTGCCGTTGTTTTCCCCTACATAGTAGACCATGGTGGAGGTTATGATCTCAAAGCAGTGCGGGTTGCTGCCCTGTGCAAGATTACTGTAGTCTCTGAACGGCTCCACCTGGAGAATCTCTGACAGAGGGATCTCCTGCAGGACAGGATTTAACATTCTTTATTTCTTTCACATAAAAAAGTTGAAGTAGTTTTAAAACATAGCAAGAGAGAGATATCAATCAGATTTTGTTAGAATTTCTGCTCAAATGAAGGCATTCATGAAGAAATAAAAATCTTCTAGTTTGATCTTTTCAACAAAAACAAACAACATTACAACATTTTTAAATATTTGGCCTCTAAAAAAGCAAACAATGCCAGCTCAACAGGCTTTAAAAACACAAAGTTAGACAAACTCACACACCTTTAAGCCGTTTGGGTCTGAGCTCAGGACCTCTTCTTTCCTCTCTCTCTTATGAACACAAACTGAAAGACAGCTTGATGCAACTAAAACTTCCCCCTTCCCCTTTAACACAGCCGAATCAAAGAGAAGGAGGGAGGAACAAATGCAGAGAAAAACAGAGAATTTCCAGCCAATGAGGTTCACAGAGGCGCATGCTGTCCCCTCCGCATGGCTTGCCACAAAGTATCAGATGAAGTGCTTGTGGTTAGCGGAGACCGGGTCACGTGAGTAAGCCCTGCGGCCACTTGAGTGCTCTGGTTGCCTGATTACAAGGCAGGGGCCGGCCGGAGGGGCCCCATCTGAGCACGAGCTGCCGGCACTACCACGAGCCACTGAGATGAAGGACGATGCAACTACTGTTTGCCCCTCACCACAACTGGGGTAGGAGTGTGAGTAGGGAGGGGGGATCTGGGGTCCAGTGTTTCAGAGTGACAGCACTGGGATAGAGAGAAGCCCCCTAACCCTCAGAAAAGTTTCCTCTAATGAAACCACAAGTACAGGGGTCTCATCTTCAAACAGGGAGCCGTTATGGTTCCCAAATGGTGAAAATGGTTGCCATGCCACCACACAACCACCACTAATCAGATTGGAGGAATAGAGGAAAGCAGAGAGAGAGCGATGGCCACACACTGATGAGCAGCAGGCAAAAAAAAAAAACTTCAGGGAAATGAAATAAAATTCTCAAGAATTTTTTTTATTTTTTGGTAACTAGTTGGATAAATATCAAAAATAAAAATTGAAAGTTAAATTATATGAATTTGTAATATATCAATCACAAAATAATGAGGAAAATATGTTAAGGTTTACCTACAAGACTTACTGACAAAAGAAGTAACATGATTGCAACCAGACTCTACAATGCGACTCTACAACGGCAATAACATGTGCAATGTACAATGTGCAATATCCATTTGATACCCTGTGCAATAACCAGTTTCTCTATATATGACACTCAGTGCAATAACTATATATATAAATATAAATATCCATCCATATAAATACAAGTGTAAACACCCCATGGAATAACCTGCTATAATGATCCTACTATAAAAAAAAAAAAAAAAAAAAAGGCTGTCATATATGGAAGGTCTGTATATACTGTATATACACTATATTGCCAAAAGTATTTGCTCACCCATCCAAATTATTGGAATCAGGTGTTCCAATCACTTCCATGGCCACAGGTGTATAAATTCAAGCACCTAGGCATGCAGACTGTTTTTACAAACATTTGTGAAAGAATGGGTCGCTCTCAGGAGCTCAGTGAATTCCAGCGTGGAACTGTGATAGGATGCCACCTGTGCAACAAATCCAGTCGTGAAATTTCCTCGCTCCTAAATATTCCACAGTCAACTGTCAGCTGTATTATAAGAAAATGGAAGTGTTTGGGAACGACAGCAACTCAGCCACGAAGTGGTAGGCCACGTAAACTGACGGAGCGGGGTCAGCGGATGCTGACGCGCATAGTGCGAAGAGGTCGCCAACTTTCTGCAGAGTCAATCACTACAGACCTCCAAACTTCATGTGGCCTTCAGATTAGCTCAAGAACAGTGCGCAGAGAGCTTCATGGAATGGGTTTCCATGGTCGAGCAGCTGCATCCAAGCCATACATCACCAAGTGCAATGCAAAGCGTCGGATGCGGTGGTGTAAAGCACGCCGCCACTGGACTCTAGAGCAGTGGAGACGCGTTCTCTGGAGTGACGAATCGCGCTTCTCCATCTGGCAATCTGATGGACGGGTCTGGGTTTGGCGGTTGCCAGGAGAACGGTACTTGTCTGACTGCATTGTGCCAAGTGTAAAGTTTGGTGGAGGGGGGATTATGGTGTGGGGTTGTTTTTCAGGAGCTGGGCTTGGCCCCTTAGTTCCAGTGAAAGGAACTCTGAATGCTTCAGCATACCAAGACATTTTGGACAATTCCATGCTCCCAACTTTGTGGGAACAGTTTGGAGCTGGCCCCTTCCTCTTCCAACATGACTGTGCACCAGTGCACAAAGCAAGGTCCATAAAGACATGGATGACAGAGTCTGGTGTGGATGAACTTGACTGGCCTGCACAGAGTCCTGACCTCAACCAGATAGAACACCTTTGGGATGAATTAGAGCGGAGACTGAGAGCCAGGCCTTCTCGTCCAACATCAGTGTGCGACCTCACAAATGCGCTTCTGGAAGAATGGTCAAAAATTCCCATAAACACACTCCTAAACCTTGTGGACAGCCTTCCCAGAAGAGTTGAAGCTGTTCTAGCTGCAAAGGGTGGACCGACGTCATATTGAACCCTATGGATTAGGAACGGGATGTCACTTAAGCTCATATGTGAGTCAAGGCAGGTGAGCAAATACTTTTGGCAATATAGTGTATCTATACACCTTTTTTTTTTCCTTTGGCACATTTTCTATGACTATTTGAGTATTTGATGTAACGAGTAAATTTCTTCACTGTGAGGTTAATAAAATCAATCAATCAATAAATGAATGATTATTAACATTTATATATATATATACATACATAAAAAAGCTAAATAATATTATATTTATGGTGATTAGCACTTCTTGGATAATTTGTGTTTACCAATTATTGTCCCACTGTTACATATTTCTCTACTGAAAAAGTTCAGTTAAGTTTATTTATAAAACATCAACTCACAACACAGGCAAACTTCAGGCACCTAACAGAGACAAATCAATTAAATCATCAGACTAGGGCTGAAACAATCAGATTAATCCTAATTAATCAATTATTGAAAAAATCATCAACTATTTTAGTAGTTGATCAATCGTTAAATTAAGTATAGTGACTTTAAAACATGCCTTTAGTTGACAGAGCAACCCAATTAGAGAAGTAATTAGGGCTGCAACTAGCGATTATTTTGCAAATCAATTAATCTGTTGATTATTTTTTCGGTTGATCGATTAATAATCGGAGAGCTAAAGGTTCCTTATAGAAGATTTCTTACGAAATTAAATCAGGTCAAAACTCAAACTTTTCCACTGGAGTTCTGGATATAGCATATTGACAGACAAAAAAGTTTTTGTATCTTAACTACAAAATGTTGATATATTTATTTAAAAATTTTGATATAATTACTGCTGCAAGTGGGTTGCTCTGTCAGCTAAAGAGATGTTTTACAGTCTCTATACTCCAGTTAATAATAAATCAATTAATAAATTAGTTGACAATTATTTCAAAAATAATTAATCCGATTGATTGTTTCAGTCTTAGGAGTAATTGATTATTAATCAAAAAATTATCAACAGATTAATTAATTTGCTAAATAATCATTAGTTGCAGCCCTAGATCAGACAGATTTGCTAAAAATGTTCTGTCTAAAGCTCGGCTTAAACTGTGCAATTTTAATGCCCTTTTCGGGCTGACTTTCCAGTCATGCAAGATTTCTCAGATCGGGCCGACTTTCAGCCTGATTGTGCGTCGTGTAGCGTACAGGGGATAACGAGGGGTAATTAGCCTCTCAAGTCCACCTCCCGATCAGGAATTGTGAGGTCGGGAGAAAATCAAATATGTTTGATTTTCAGTCGACTGTCGTGGGCAAATCACTCAGCAAGTAAACAAGGATTCTCCTTCTTCTCAGATGAAAACACAGAAGCGTGGCGGGACAGACCGTAGTAGCTACGTTTGCTCAGCCACATCTTTGTCCAAATACGCTTTTGCCTTTTCTTTTTAGGGCTTTCAGCATAAAATTGCACTAATTGCCAAGGCAGTGTGTTTCATTTCCCTCTAGTGAGCTGAATATTCCTCTTCTACTCATTTGGCTTCCAGATAGACGAATCTGAGTAGCGCCATCTCACTGCAGAGCTGAGTCCGACATGGTTTTTAGATGTAGAGTTTAAGCAGGTAGACTGCATCAGAGCGTCGGGCACACAGTGTGAGAACATACATCATGAGCTGTGAACTCACACTGTACGACAAAACCGCAGGGTTGCACGCAGCTACGCAAATGTAGCTGCATGCAGCAATTGAAAAAAACTGCACAGTGTATGCCCGGCTTAAGGAAACCCAGCTGACTGCACTGGAACACTGACTTTCCTGAATTCACTAATCCTTGTAGCAACAGTAAACATTTACTTGCATTATGTAGTTGACTTTGCAGAGATTGGAGAAAACAACTTTTTTTAATAAAAGGAAAGAAATATAAAGGATGTGTTGATAAAAACTCTAAAAGACGGATTTTAAATAGAAATTATATCTTATTCTAGACCAGACCTTTTTCTTTTTTAGTTTAACTATCAATGTTCTCTGTTGGGACTTCTTGTTACTTTAATTTCTATATTGCTGTTTTGCTTTCTTGCAATCGGGATGCACATACTGTACCCTCTTAAATGAGGGTAATTTAGAAAGTCCAATCTATATGGCATACATGTCTTTGGATTCAAGGAGCTTTCGAAATACCTTTGATTCAGACTTCTTGCAGTTTATGTGTTGATAAGTGATTAGGAAATTATTTGACATAAAAAAATGAAACATCAGAGATTAAATGGGGAGCCCCAAAAACGTTACACATTTTTCCTGTTTGCAAAAGACAGAAATATATTTTATAAATTATACTCTGGTAATTTTAGATAGGATAAAAAAATTATCGTTAACAGTTAGTTGCTGAAATAGTAACTCAAGAAGCCGACATTTGTAAAATGGAAAAAAAAAAAATAGATTCCTGGCAAAATGGGATTTAATTACAATGTTGATAGTTTCAGTAGAAGTTTGGCAGCAATATGTTTTTTTTTTTTTTAGAAAATCTTAAATGTCACACAGAAACTTATTCTCTACTCTACAGTCCTGTTTGTAGTACACATTTGAGGATAAAGGAGTTAAATGCAGTGAAATAAAATGAGTAAAACTGGATGAACAGAACAATCAACTGATGCAGAACAAAGACCAACTATTGTAGAAAAAAAAAAGAGTTGGAGCAAGCCTTTAATTTGCCTGCTGTGGATTTCAAGTGTAGTTGAGTGCCAAGTTGATAATAAAGAACCACATAAAGTCAGCGATAAACACACCCTGAGGAGTCTGTACCACTGAGGTTTCCTCTCTGAGGCTTTTGGTGGCAGAAGATGAAGGGTGTGACAGATGTTTATTTCTTGTTGTTCAAGAAGTAAGACGACTAACCCAAAAAAAGGTGAAAAGGAACTCTACATAACAGAAGCTTATAGCTCAAACTTTTTGACACACATTTTAAACCGGAAACTCAGCCCCCTACTCAGCATCCCACTGCAACAGACCCCTGACCACAACTCAAAGAGGTCTCTGTGTCTCAGAGACACTCATCTCTAAGCAGGCATAGAGACACATGGGGAAGTCTTTACCGTCCAGGCTGCAGTTCCCTTCCCTCTGCGTTTTCTGTGTAATTGCTGCTTTATTAAGCCCCTGTGGCTGAGTAATGACTAACTACTGCGCTTGCCACTGAGAGGGAAGTGTCACACAATCCCTACACATCAAATTACAGTCACTCATTTACAGTCACTACGCTCTTCAAAAAAGATTTTGAAATCCAAAAAAGGGGAAATATATGTGCCTTGAACTCTAAATCATCTTAAACTTGACGACCCCTTCACCAGACCAGGTTTTGTGTTAAAAAAGAACCGCGGAAATTTTAGTGGGCTGCGCGGACCTTAACGGCTCCTTCACAGTTGGAACGCAGGCGGCTCTTAAGCTGAGTCACACGGCTCCCACCTGCTTTGATTTACATACTTCACACATATCAGGGTGATAATACAATGTGTCATGCTTAAATCACCAAACAAAAGCAGTGCTGCTTTAGTTTCAGTTCAGAAGGTCTTCATAGATAATCTGAAGTAAATCTAGGGGATATATTTTCAGAAGTTTTTCATTTTGCACAATGATTTAAGTGAAGGACAGGGAAAGAAAACAAAAGCATGTTTCTTGTTTTTCAGGAATAAAACATAGATTATGCAAAGTAGCTTACTTTATAGAACTTAGCTCCTGTGTCATTCTGGAAAAGACTTAGACTCTTGCTGTCCAGCCTCCAGTAATGTCTCTTCCGCTTTTAAATTTGATAGAAAAAACAAAAAGAACAAGATTGTAAAGACAGACTGTTTATAAATAATACAAAGATGTGATATTATTTCAAAAGGAAAGTAATTTCCGAACAAACTGGAAAACTGTTTTTTTTAAATGATGCAGTTAATACCAGCTGGAGCTAGCTACTCTGTTTCAGGGTTTTACTCTTACCAGGTTGTCCCTGCTTGTATAATGAACCATCCAGCCCTCTTTGACCACTGTGGAGCTCCGTCTCTTGGTGTGCTTGATAGACTGGACCACCCGCATGAGTGGGATGTTGCTGCTGGTTGAAGGACTGCACAAACAGAACCATACTTCTTTTAGATCTCAGTTTTGTTTTTCAAATATATTCTTTAAGCACACTGGTATCCTTACATATGTCTCAACAGGTAGATAATAAAAGATTATGTTTTCCTTTGACACACACAATTCTCGAAATACCTAAAACTTTTTCACAACTGTAAAAGTAGAATGAAACAAAGTACTACAGCCAGGCAAAGTCAGTTCTTCAGTCTATCTAAGAAGGATTTCACCTTAACATAAATCCAGCTGTTATGGCCTGTTAGAGAACAGTAGTTTTTGTTTTGTTTTTTTACTTTTATTGTCATTACAGTGTCACAAGTACAGAGCAACAAAATATATTTAATTCAATTTCAATTCAATTCAATTCAGTTTATTTATATAGCGCCAAATTCACAACACATGTCATCTCAAGGCACTTTACAGTTCAACCAGATCATACAGTCAAATTGATACAAAGTTTTCTATCTAAGGAAAACCAGTTGATTGCATTGACTCATTGACTCAAATACAATCCCTCACACTAAGCATGCTTGTAGCGACAGTGGAGAGGAAAAACTCCCTTTTAACAGGAAGAAACCTCCAGCAGAACCAGGCTCAGTGTGAGCGGCCATCTGCCAAGGCCGACTGGGGTTCAAGGAGACAGAAGCAGAGATACAAGCAGCTGTAAAAGGCGGCCCCGTCCAGGAAACAAACAGCCAGGCAGACGAGCTCCAAGGCAGCTCCCATGCCAGAGGATGAAGAGAGCACATCCACCCAGCCACGGCCAGAGAAACAGGACCACACCTGAAGACAGGCCGATCTCCAACATCTACAAACAAGGGTGTTGATGGAAGCAGCACAGCTGATGTTTCTTTCCTGGATGACGTCACAGCCAAACAGGAACAGACGAGGCAAAGCTACTCTGAGGAAAAGCAGAGAGAGCAGAAGGTTAGAGATTGAACAAACAGATTCTGCAGAATAGGAGAACAGAGAGAGAATGAAGCAGAATGATGAAATGGGGGTCCCTATGTCCTCCAAAAGTCTAAGCCTATAGCAGCATAAATATAGAGAGAGAGCTCAGGATAACCTGAGCCACCCTAACTATAAGCTTTATCAAAAAGGAAAGTTTTAAGCCTAGTCTTAAAAGTAGACAGAGTGTCTGCCTCACCGACTAAAACTGGTAGTTGGTTCCACAGGAGAGGAGCCTGATAACTAAAAGATCTGCCTCCCATTCTACTTTTAGAAATTCTAGGAACCACTAGTAAACCTGCAGATTGAGAGCGAAGTGCTCTGTTAGGAACATAAGGAACAATCAGATCTCTGATATAAGATGGAGCTTGGCCATTTAAGGCTTTATATGTGAGAAGGAGGATTTTAAATTCTATTCTTGATTTAACAGGAAGCCAATGAAGAGAAGCCAGGATAGGAGAGATATGATCTCTCTTTTTAATTTTCATCAGAACTCTGGCTGCAGCATTTTGGATCAGCTGAAGGCTTTTAACTACAGTTTGTGGACTTCCTGATAGTAAAGAATTACAATTAGGGCTGCAACTAACGATTATTTTGAAAATCGATGAATCGGCCGATTATTTTTTCGATTAATCGATGAATCGGACACAAAATTTTTTTTTTATATTAACCTCTTTATTCCAAAATAAACATTTTAGACAGAACAAACAAGCACACAAGTACAGGTTTCTCATTAACTGTACTGGTGCAATATGAAAAATAAATGTTTGTTTTAAAACTACGCAAACTTACATGAGAAATGTAGCTGTACATCCACAAAATATAGGGTACTTTGTTTCATAAAGCGCAAAAAGAGACAGGCATTTTTGTTTTTTAAAGCCCCTAAGGGGTTCAAACAATAGGCCCCCCCATTTCAATAAATGAGGTTTTTTTAGACTAGAAGAGTTCTGCCTTTTAAGACAGGAAAGTATAGCAGTTAAAGTTGCTACTTGAGAAAATACTGAACCATAGAGATAAAAATAGCCCTGTGATTCAAATTATAAACTGTATTTGGAATAAAAATGAGAGAACTAGGGGTGCTAAAAAACACATCCTCCAAAGACAGATATTTACATGGGAATGTGGCATATACTTAATTGACATATTACTGATCTTGCTGGATTTTATTCTGCTTTACTTCCATAAATTGCAGGATCTTCTTTACTTTATCTTTGCCAGAAGATTTAAACTTTAAAAGCCTTGCCCTCATAATTTGCAAATTAATTTATTTATAAAGAAAATATAAACGCTGCTTAAGCTAATTCAAATGAAATTAAAAGTAAAATAAGTAGCCAACCTTATCACTGTCTGTAACCTACTAACACGGTAAGGAAAGCATCAGATGAGCTACCTGAGAAACTAACTTACGTTTCCCCACTTTAAAATGAAACAAACATGGTTACTCATCCTGCTGATCAGCTCTCTTCACTGCCATTGAAGGCCCCAACATGTTTTCTTTTCAGGTGCTGCGTCATAACAGTGGTGCTTCCGTGCCATGTTTATTTGTTTTTACAAAAGTCGCGTGTTACGACTTTTTTCACTTTACAAAGCGCAGGCTATTTTAATTATTGTGATCAATTTGCGCCGTCAATCCCGGGGCATGCGCGCTTCATTTGCAGTCTGGACGCTGAGGTTAAACTCCTCACTAAAATCCTGCGGCTCGGACTGCAGAGCTGAGAGGGATTCTTGTGGGAGAGGGAGAAAGGCGTTGGGATGGGGGAGGCGCCCCACTGCAGCAGCTGCCGCTGGAGGACAAGAGTAGGAACGATACATGCTTTCACGTAAGAGTCTCCAAAAGCCGCCAGTGACACCGTAAAAAGTCGCCAGATTTGTCGCTAGTCGCTTTTTTAAAAAAATAGTCGCTGGAGGGGTCTGAAAAGTCGCTGAGTTGGCAACACTGCAACTGCGGCGCTGACTCGCTCCGCCATATTTTTTTTTCTTCCCCGGGATGACGGCGGCGGCGGATGACGCATTAATCGCGCGACACAACTAATCGATGATTAAATTCGTTGCCAACGCTTTTAAAAGTCGATTTTTATCGATTTTATCGATTCGTTGTTGCAGCCCTAATTACAATAGTCCAGCCTTGAAGTAACAAATGCATGGACTAGTTTCTCAGCATCACCCCTGGACAGGAGATTTCTAATTTTTGCAATGTTCCTCAGATGAAAGAAGGAAATTCTAGAAACCTCTTTGATATGGGATTTAAATGACAGGTCCTGATCAAAAATAACACCAAGATTTTTTACTTTATTATCTGAAATCAGTTTAATCCCATCCAAATGAAGTGACTGGCTAATCAGCTTCTTTTTCAGAGACTCTGGTCCAAAGACTATAACTTCTGTTTTGTCTGCATTCAGAAGCAGAAAGTTAAGAGTCATCCAGGTTTTTATGTCTTCAAGACATGCTTGTAATCTATGTAATGGGTTAGCTTCATCTGGATTTATAGACAGATATAGCTGGGTATCATCAGCATAACAGTGGAAATTAATCCCATGCTGTCTAATAACTCTACCAATTGGGAGCATGTATAAAGTAAAGAGAATTGGTCCTAGCACTGATCCCTGTGGTACTCCACAGGTAACCTTTGAGTGTGTTGAAGATCTATCATTAACATAAACAAACTGAATTCGATCAGATAGATAGGATTTAAACCAGTCTAGTGCTGTTCCTTTAATTCCAACAAAATATTCAAGTCTTTCTAAAAGAATATTATGGTCAACTGTATCAAATGCAGCACTAAGATCCAACAGGACGAGCACAGATACAAGTCCATTATCTGAGGCCATGAGAATATCATTAGTGACTTTCACCAGAGCTGTTTCAGTGCTATGATGAGCTCTAAAGCCAGACTGAAACTCTTCAAAAAGTTCATTATGGTGTAAGTGGTCGCAAACTTGTTTGGCAACTACTTTCTCAAGAATTTTGGATAAGAAAGGAAGATTGGATATAGGTCTATAATTAACCAAGTCATCTGGGTCAAGAGACGGTTTCTTAAGCAGAGGTTTAATTACAGCAACCTTAAAAGCTTTAGGTACATATCCCTGTAACAGAGATAGATTAATCACATCTAAAATGGAGGAGGAGATCAAAGGGAATACCTCCTTAAATAACCTGGTTGGAACTGGATCTAACATACAAGTTGAAGGCCTAGATGAAGACAATAATTTTGCTAATTCAGAAAGTTCAACTGGATCAAAGCAGTCTAAACCCGGTTCAGATTCCATGACTACCTCAGGTACAATCGCGGATAGAGGAGTGCTTATGATCTTATTTTTAATAAGATCAATCTTATTTATAAAGAATCCCATAAAATCATTGCTGTTAAGAGCAGGTGGAATGGAAGGTTCAACAGAGCTATGGCTCTGGGTGAGTTTGGCAACTGTATTAAAAAGAAATCTAGGATTATTCTTATTCTCCTCTATTAATGAGGAGAAGTATGCTGCTCTTGCTTTACAAAGGGTCCTCTTATACAGCAGTAAACCATTTTTCCAGACTATGAAGGACTCCTGCAGGCCTGTGGAGCGATATTTTCTCTCCAGTTTCCTGGAGAGATTTAGTGGGCTGCTATTGTGTGGTGCCCCAGGAGCAGGCTAGGGTTAAGGGTCTTGCTCTGTGGCAGACCCTGGGAGTGTGTGGGACTTGAACTCAGAACGTCCGAGACCCAAGCGCAATGCTCTAACCACTAATCCACCACTCCAAATCGTTGTTGACGGGTTTGAAGCTGGTCAATAACGTAACAAAAAAATTAACCAATGACTGGCATTACTCAGAGAAGGTGCAAAGATGCCCATCTGGAAACTACAAGCAGATGCTCCACAAATGTAGGTTTTATGAAGCAAAAAGAGGGAAACAAAAATTCTAAATGTGAAAGGTCAACTTCCTCTACATTTAAAGGCTGTTTTCCTCAGATGAGAGACTGTTGGTCATTCTGGAGAGAAATATCAGCTGTGCGGCTGCCATCAACACCTCTGTTTATAGATGTTGGAGATCGGTCTGTTTTCCAGTGTAGTCCTGTGTCTCTGACTTGGACTGGCTGGATGTGCTCTCTTCATCCTCTGACATGGGAGTTGGCTCGGAGCTTGTCTGCCTGGCTGTGTGTTTCCTGGACGGGACCGCCTTTTACAGTTGCTTTTTGTATCTCTGCTTCTGTCTCCTTGAACCCCAGTCAGCCTCGGCAGATGGCCGCTCACACTGAGCCTGGTTCTACTGGAGGTTTCTTCCTGTTAAAGGGGAGTTGTTCTTCTCCACTGTCTCTACAAGCATGCTTAGTGTGAGGAATTGCCTTCAAATCAATGAGTCGATGCAATCAACTGGTTTCCTTAGATAGAAAACTTTGTATCAATGTGACTTGATGATCTGGTGAACTGTAAAGTGCCTTGAGATGACATGTGTTGTGAATTGGGGCTATATTAATAAACTGAATTGAATTGGTTCTTTTCAGAGTTGAATAAAAGGCAATCCTTAAGGATTTTTATTCTCCTTTAAAAAGTTAAATGTCCACATTGTCAGAGAACAAAACCTGAACAAAACATACCGAACAATGGAAAGGATTCGATTAAAAGTTAATGTGCTAGAATGACCTAGTCAAAGTAAAGAGTTAAATGCAGTAGTAATCTGTTTCACTACACAAACATGGATGTTTACAGAGTCTCTCGATTCAATCTGACAGAGACTGAGCTATTCCGTCTATAGATGTACCGTTCAACACATAAATTAACTCTTTTATAGATTTGTTTCAAACTAAGGTACTGATGAATAAACCAATTCAAATTAACACTATGGTTTCCATATTTTTACTTTTTTTGATTGTCTATGACATAAATCTAATAAAAACATCAGGTTTTTGGTTGTAACTTCACAAAACATGAAGAACTAGAACTAGACTGTGTGCAGTGATACAATAAATTAAATCCTGCCTTCTACAGAATATTTTTGTCATCAACCAGAGAAAATCAACAGTCAAAGGGGTTGTATTTTGTCATACCTTATAGTCTTGATTGGCTCTTCATCCTTCTCTCTATCCGTGAAGGGAGAATCCATGCCAAACATCCCGTCTGGAGTGGACGGTTCGTCCGGATCATCCAGACTTCTTCCGCCATCCATATCCCCACTGTCCACCTCCATATCCATGGTAGTATCAGAGTCAGGCCCAGGGCTCGCTGGCTCTAAACATTTACACCAAATGCAGATCATCAGAATATTGCAGAATAGAGTTAAGAAGATTTTCTGCACTAATATGACCTAAAAAGTTCCACAGAAACAGATTTAGATGAACCAGTCTGCATATTTGTCACTCATGGCTGAAGATGATTAAATAATAATAATAATAATAACAATGTTAACATTTCTGCTTAACATCTGAAAATGTATTATTTCAAATCAAAACCGTGAGATTAAAAGTTAAAAGCATTACTTACCACCATTAAAGTCTACTTCTCCTAAACAATCTCTCGGTACCTTTGAAGCACAGCGCTTATGGCAGTTAAATCTGCAGTCTGGAGAGAAATACTTAACATGAGATGTTTATATCTTTAACAGAAAATAAAAAGATCAATGTGTTCATACAAGGTGTTACCTTTACACTGCATTCCCTGGCGAAAGAGACCCTTGAGTAGCCGTTTGCAGTACTGGCAGATGGTTGGCCTGGTGTAGGTGTGAATGGCGAAGGTGTGCGGCACCTTGACCCGTGTCTTTTCCATCTTATCCATCCAGATAGGCCTGCCGCTCCAGGACAGGATGCGCTTCCCCGCCTCCTGATGGGACCGCTGGGGCTGAGTTAGGGAAAACAGGGAAAAGGTTGGGGGACGTTACAAGGGATTAAAACCACTAGCAGTAAAGGATCAAGAAACTTCAAGTGAACATTTGAGGGACACAGATAAACAGGAGAAATAAGTACAGCATGAACCGGACCTCCAGTCTTTTAACTCCCATTTCATCTAGACAGCTGGAAGTTATGATATAGCAAAAAAGAAAAAACATTTGTTCAGTCATTTAAAGGACAAGATGGTTTCTTGGCCTTCTAAACACTGTTGGACTGTTTTGCTCATTAAGAAAAACAGCCCAAGTGTGACTGAGATACACCAAAATTCACTTTGGGTTTGTGATCGGTACCTTGAAACAAGTCCAAGAAGCTGCTCTGTAAGGAGAATAACAACAGAAACAAAACTATTAAATAATATTTGGTGTCCAAAAAACAAGCAGGTCCCAGTCCCAGGACTTTACTTTAAAATAACCATCATAACATCATTTATAAATGATAATTCCTCGTTTAAAGCCACTTTTGTTGAAATTTGCATTTATGCATTCTCTAGCTTTTTCTCCCCTTCGAGATTCTTTTCCGAACATACAGCTTTACGATCAACCAGAAGCAGTTCAGCGCAATTATATTGCTATATAATATATTTGGCGAAATTGTTTTTATAAACTTTTTTTTAAATAAAGTATTATAAAAGCATCAATAATCACATTTAATGAATTTTAATGCCAATTAAAGCCTTAATTTAAAAAATAATAATTTAATGACTTTTAATGATTTTTAATCACCCGCGGAAACCCTGACTAAGTGACTGCAGAGTGTCTGCCTGTTCAGCAGAGAAAAATTCAGTTGTATGCTCTACATGTAAGCTATTTTTTCCCAATTTTTGAAGTCTTAGAGCAGGGGAAACCAATTAAAAATCAGCGGGGTCCGAATAAAGAAAATCAAAAATCAAAAAAGGTCCAGAGACATTTTAAATTATAATCTCTTACTTTAAACAGAATTTAACACTGAAATAAAATGAGGTGTTTATGCAGCCATTTCATACATTGACTTTTTGAATTAAAAAAATATAAAAAAAAAAATAGAAAATTTATTTACATTTTAAAATCTAAAGTGTTTTTTTTTAAGTAGAAAACAACAATTGTTCAGTTTTGGTATATAGACAATTTCCTAGTTCACAGATTTTATAAACCACCTGAACTTTTCTATGGCTTAATGGGAGCAGTGGGCTTTATGCTGCCCTGCAAGGCTTTAAACCTGGTTTGAATGGCCACAAAGTAACTCTCAAGCACATACCAAGGAGCTAATTTTTAGCCTGGATCGATATTTATTTTTGATTATGTTCACAGTGGAGAATCCTGCTTCACAGCAGCAGGTAGAGACAAACATCCTCAGCAGTCCACACACTTTCTTTTACTTTTTCTCATCATCCTCTCCTTCTTTCCCATCGCCCGGCTTGCCACAGGTTTGCCTGTTGTGTCTAAAAGTAGTCAGCAGCAGCGGCCCAGACTGACACAGCTTATTGGCTAATTTGTATCACGTGTAGCCTGGTGCCGGACGCTCTGGAGGGGTTTACCATACAAGCAGGAGAAGCAGCGCAAGTGAAATTAGACACTGTCAACGGACAAAATGCGGTAATTAATAAATGTTTTAAATCAGGTTGGGTCCGGATTAGCCAGCAGGTGGGTCAAGATCCGGACCGCAGTCCGCTAATCCGTGAACTCTGTCTTAAGAGTATATTGGTAAAGTCCACAAAGGTTTTAGTTGGTGATGTGCCACAATTTAGCTTGATGTGCCAAAACTATGCCAAATGTGATTTTCACCTGAAAAAGTAGAATCTAGTCAAAACAGAAGTGCTGAATTCAATTGTAGAAATCCTGCCTCATATAAGACTTTGTAGGAGGAGATAAAATTATAAAAACATAATTAGATTAGGTTCTCAGTCCAACTTTTTTCTTAAACTGCCTTTATTAAGGGCAATACACTTTTCGCAGTTCATGTTTAGTTATTTCTTATTTTCTCCTTATGTACAGCTTTTTAAATAATTACTGTAAGGGGATAAACTTGCTTTGCCTTTGCTTTTGTCATTTATACTGTCTAACATCAATAGTGTCAGGAGCAGTTCCTAAACCAGCGTGCATACAGACACCACGTCTACCAGCTTTATAACCTTTTAACCACACATAATGCTTCAGGGGACAACATTAGACAAAGACATGGGACACCTGGTTGGAAAGATAAAACTCTCTAGTTTCCAAGGATACCAGGCAAGGGTTGGTGAAGCAAGAACTTCTTTGTCATGAAGCATTTCTCCAACAGAGTCATTCATGATTGATACACCTTTAAATTGCATCTTTTGCGTTTAAAATGTTGTATTACTGAAAGTTTTTGCAAAAAAAAGTATGAACTTCTTTTAGAAATGTTAACTGTTCTTCTTTCGAGGGATTTGGGAAATGAAAAGTGACTGTTTGACCTACTCATACTGTACAGACAGCAAAAGGAATGACCTCTGCTGAACCTGGCACAGGGCTCAGACTCATTTAAGTGGTTTTAAACTCAAAGGTTAATCTGAAGCTGTAGACTTTAACGCTTCTCCATAACCATATTATATACAAGAAACTAAACAAACAGCACAGACAAGACAAACTAATGTGCTTAAAATGAAGCAAGATTTAATTAAAAAGGGGCAAAAAGTTTTGACTTTTTACAGCAGCACTAAGTCAGTTTTACTTGAATAAAACCTCTTCTGAGTCCATGTGTAGGTAAACCAAGTGTTAATGAGGTCTCTCATCTCCCCCTACTGGATCTGCTCAGAAAACCACACTTGTAACTTTCTGTGCCTCCTACCTCAGTAGTAGTATCGCAACTCTCTTTCATTCTCGCAGCGTGACTAACAGTTTCAAGGCACCTTAATATAAATGATGCCAATGGCTTCAGTAACCACACGCCTCCCTGCGCTACCCCAGGGTTATGGAATCGTTTCTTTATTTTTGAGTTTTATAACATTTTGGAGCCAGCAAAAAGCACAAAGAAAACCTCTTTCAGGAGAGAAAATGGGACTTGGACTGGGACACGACTCTAACAAGGGGAATTGAGGCATTTAGTCCTCAAACTAAAACAAGGATGAAATCTGATGCAGATCTGGCAATGTTGTTGTTGGACTTATAAGTACAATATTTGTTATTACTGTTGTGACTTAAGAGTGATGGATTTTTAGTACGCAGCTATGAAACATGAGACACTCAAAACAATCAAAGCAATCATTTGAGAGGCAGACTTACATAAAAGTCTTTTTTCTCCAGCCAAAAGGCTGCTCTACATTAGTTTACATTAGATAACATAAAACATTTCCCTATTCTTCATGTATTTGGTCGAGATCTGTGTCTTCACGCCACTTTGGACTGAGCTCTGTAGCTGCGAGGTGCTGAGCAGCTCACAGAGAGCCAGTTTGCAACCCTGCTATTTTCAGAAGGTCCTCTAGGGAGAGCAGGAGTTAAAATTAACTTAGTGATGCTTTATAAGAAAAATTAAACTCCTATATGTGTAGACGAGATGTTAATAAGAGGGTTAAAAGTGATTAATATTACAGATTAAACTGACCAGTCAAAGTTTCTGTTTTGTTTTCTGACAAACAATGCTTTAAAAATTGTGAATAAGAGCATCTGTTTGGAGTTTAGCCATTATAAAAGAGATCAATATTTTCTGAGAGCAAACTAGGGCTGCAACTAACGATTATTTTGCAAATCGTTTGATTTTTCAATTATTTTTTCTATTAAACGATTAATAATTGGATAGCCAGAGATTCCCTAAAGAAGAGTTTTTTATGAAATTAAAGAAGGTAAGACTAAACATTTCCACTATATAGCAAATTGACACATGAAAACATTTTTTATCTAATATAAAAAAATATTTTTTACAGTCTCTAGTTAAGGTTTAATCTAAATTAATTAATTGACAATTATTTCAATAATCAATTAATCGTGATTGCTTCAGCCCTAGAACAAATCCAACAAAAAACAGATGCTAGATGATAGAATAATCAATATGCAAACCATTAAATGCTTTCATGACCAATTATTAGCCTGATAGACAAAATGCAATAAATTAACAAGAACTAGTTCATGTTAGAGCTGTGAATCTATTTTACAATGTTTAAGAGGTTAACATAAAACAAATATTTTACATTTAGCTGAACTGGATTAAGAGCTAGATAGTTAGCTGCTCAGGATTAACTTGCAAACATAGTTTAGCTAAGTTAAAAGCTCTTAAATCTAAAAAGAAAAACAAAAATCTCAAATAATGTATGAATGACATTCCAAGTCCACAAAAATGTTATTAACTTTGCTGTGTTTTACCACATGAGAGCAAATAGTACCCAGTTCATTTGCATTAATAAAGCAGCCTGGAAACTCCTGGCAAAAGAAAGAGGAAAACACATTTGTTTTTTTTACCAAAACGTCAGCAGTTGCAAAACCTTGGACTTCAATGGCTTTTAATGTCATTAACATGATTACATTTCCTCATGACCTTTGGCGTGGACGCACAGTAGGATTCCTCTGTGGCCTTGTGTAAAAATTTGTTTCATAAGATCTCCCTGAGAACCTTCACACTGAGTAAGTGCAGCCAAATTCAATTTTCTGTATTGGTGATATTCTACAACATGTCCCTGAAAAGGGCCAAATCTGAAGTTTGTAAACATTTAACCGCAAAAAAAAAGGAAACTCTCACCTCATCAGGAACAACCACTGCATTTTCAGCAGGTAGCACTCTAGGCATGGATAGAGAGGGTCCTGGCAGCGATACATTGGACAAACGCCTTTTCCTCACTCCCGTGCAGTTATTTGGGATCTTAAAGGCACAACGCTTGTGATAGTTTAGCCCACATCCTTCAAAAAAAAGAAGAGAAATTGGATCTAATTAGTTTAAATTAAACAAAAATGGTTGTTAATTAAGAGATAATACAAATCCTACGACAGATTTTAGGTAGCCAGTTCTTGAATCATTAAGTCTGCAAAGACAGAGGGTGATAAGAAGCCAACTAACATGAGGATAGATGATCATTTTTTTTTATAAATTTTAGAGTATTCCATCTAATGTGATCAATCAGGAGTGTTTTGCAAAATTCATCACTAAGATCATAAAAAAATTACCAGGCACTTTATGAATTTGGGCTGAACTTGACTACATTACTAAGAAAAAATCTTTCAAAAAATCAAGCATTAACATATTCCTCCAGATGTGTCCTTCCAACCTTCACATTTAAGCCCCTGACGGACGAGACCCCACAGCATCTCTCCGCAGTAGTCGCAGAAGGTCGGGGCTTTGTAGGAGTGCACGTAGAGGGCATGAGGTCGGATCTGGAAATCCTCGACTGTGGCTTGAGCTAGAAAAGAAATTTAAAATCATCAAAAATTAAATCATCAAAAAAAACAGAGCAAATTCCTATATCATATATACCGCAAAGAAAAGGGCACAAAATGGTTGCAGAAAGATACAGATACAGTACCTTGTTAAAATCTTTTTTAATCCTCAACATAGTCACATTTTGACATTCTATAACCATAAAATACATTGAATTTCAAGATAAAAATATCCCCAAACTATACCTGAAAAGTCGGACCTGCATTTTTATCCTGTCCATCACTCTGATATCTCCATCTACCCATCTATAATCTGATCTTGGTGTAAATGTAGCTGATTTCTGAAGACCTGAAATAATGGGCTGGGTGATAGCCAGTAGTCTAGTTGAAAAAAAAAAAAAAAAAAAGAAGTGGAATGGTGGATTTTTTTGAAGCAATCATAGGCTAATTAATATAATGTATTGACCGAAAGCAGGGGTCTTCAACATTTTCCAGGGTAAGGACTCCCAAACTGATGGAGAGATGGAGCGGGGAACCCCTTATTACATATATTGTATGAAACTGTGTTCTATCAAACTGGTCCTATAGTCACTCCATTACAGATGGAGTAATGTAACGAGAGTAATGTAGCCTTGGGATTATTAAAGTATTTCTGATTCTGATTCCTGGTTCCCATGCAGTACCTCTGTGGACCCCCTAGGGGTCACGGATCCCCTGTTGAAGACCTCCGACCTACAGCAACAAGCATTGTATGGTTGTTACAGGTCAGGTATGCCGGTCATTGACCAAGGCACCTTACAATAGAGATGCAGTCAGTTAATATATAGTAAAAATTTTACACATTCAGTAATGAAATGTCACAGGGATGGTCATTTAAGAAGGGGGATGATTTTTAAGATTTTTTTTTTTTTTTGAAGGGGGATGCCACCCCCTCCCCATCCTCCCTCAACTCGAGTACTGGTGATAGCATGGCATAATCAGAGGGATAAAGGATTAACAGATTTAATAATTAGTAGTAGTTAAAAATTACTATTAAGGCAAAAACAAGTTTCAGCCAAAAATCCTTAAATGAGGAGCTGGTTAATTTGTAGTTGTCCTTCATCTGACACAGTATATAACATATTGTTAAAACCCACAACTGAATAAAATCCTCAATTCTGTGTGGCTCTGTGGAAGTGAAACTTCAGCCTTATTCTGGCATTTGTAAACAGCATCCCAAAAAGACTAAAAACACAAATTAATTACTCTTGTGCAATCCATAAAAACATGGAACAAAATTTCAGACAGACAGCAGAAAGGGCACTAGTTTAAAAACACCCCAATAAATTTGTGACACCGTTTAAAATCCTCCATTGGAGATCTCCAGTTCGTTTTTTAATTGGAGGCTTATATAAAGTCCTCCACTGGGGGGCTTTTTCTGAAGTTTTTCTGTCCAGATGCAGACCTGCCGGTTCTGAAGATGTCTTTAATTTATTGCTTTTGTGCAGCTGTGGTAAAGGGCTTTCTGGTCCATAGTCGATAAAACCATCTCTGTGGGTCCAGGCTGGAGAACAGAGGTCTGCTTTGCTCGTGGAAGCAAGAATCCAGGATCAGAACCTTTATTTATGACTGGTTAGATGAAGAGACTGTTGCAAGAAAGCCATGAGACGTCCTTGTTTGCAGGAGGGCAACATAGGAGACATGGTATGTGTGTTAAACAGATGGCTTCGATTAAATGAGAGCGAAAGGTCGATTTTGGCCCACATACAAAAGGTTACATAAAGAACATGTATGTGCTTGACTGTTCCAGTCAAAGTGAGGGACCTAATTAACAAAACAATCTGTGGCAAAGCTCGAAAGAATGACTTAATAGACTCTCTATGCAATCCAGCTTGAGCCATTTTACAAATAAGAAAGTGCAAAAAAGTTGAACAATTATTTACTGTAGATAAAAAGGAATAAAATTTACTATGTTTGTTAGTACCGGTACAAAATATATAAAAAAAAAAATTCAGCAAGTATTTATATATTTCTATACGGTTGGTATATGAAGCTAGGATGTGATTGAGTGTGTGCAACATGAATGCAGGGGTGCAAGCAGATCCTATATTTCTATACAGACACCGGGTTTAAACTGGGTTACAATATATTATTTCAATTAATCAAAACAATTAATCATCAAACTTTTTATGCAAATCTCTGATGAGGAAAAACCATCCAATCCTTTTCTAAAGATGGACTCCCTGTTGAGAGATGAAGCCCAGGTTCTACCAGCAACTAAAACTGTTTTTAAAAAAGCGGTAAAGAAAGACAAGCTCTGCATTGCATCTGAACAAAAACCTAAATTAAACCATATAAATATGTTAGAAGTCTTGAAAAAAAGAGCACAGCACATCTCTGGCAGATGCAGCACATCAGAGGGAAGCTCTGCAGACATTGCTGCTGCACCATCATTGCTCCAGTAGAGGGCGACACATCTGCAGCTGCACTAATGCATTTTACTCATTCCATTATTTAGAGTAAAACAGCCTTTAACTTTCACTTTTTTACACCATAAAGAACAGCTGTTATCCGGCAATAGGAATATTGATAATTATATGTATGTATTACGTAATTTAGCAAAAAAAGGGCAACAAAAGTGCTGCATAAGTTAATAGAATAACAGGAAATTGAACCTTTCGGAACCAAAATAATAGCAACAAGTATTAAAATTCAAGGCTGAAATTAGAAGCAAGCCAATCAGCAAAGGAATAGAAGAAGCTAATATTATATACGCTCTCTGGAATTAGGATCCAGTTTAAAAAAGGTGAGATTAAAATTGTTTGAAGTTCCAGTGGAGCTCACAGAAAGAAGGGAGGCTGTTCCAGTGCCTCGGGGCTGTGGCTGAAAAAGACTTCGTCTCATCTGGTCACAAGCCGAGTCCTGGGAACAACTAAGAGTTTTCTGTCTGGAGATCTTAGATGTGTGGATGTAAACAATCGTTACAATGAAGGAGCGCCAGGACTTTTATACATTTAGAAAACTAAAAGTAAATTCTTTAAAACAAATCATCCAGCAGGTTTTCAGATGTCTTCCTTTCTCCTCTGCTTTTCTCTTTTATTACTTCAAAGCAAACACTTTGTTCATTGCTGGGAACCGGTGTTGATTAATCATGACTGTGGAGAATCATGCATGTGAAGAAGAGGACTACATAACCCGTTTTATGGTGTTTGGGTGACTGACACTTCTGTTTTCTCCCAGAGCTGTTCCCATACAATCATTAAGCGTCCAAAGCGCGGCGGTTAATCTTTACACTGAGGTTAGGTAGTGAAAGCAGGAGGCCAACATGACGTCACTCAGCGTGTGGTAGTTCCACATCTCCTTTTTAATAAAAGGACATGATTTTTCACCTCAGTATCTATGATAACCTCCTTAAGATTCAGTCAACTTAAATCCTTTTTAGGAAACGGGAAAGAGGATTCCAACTTCAAGAAGGGGCTTGAACACGTTTAAATAATAAACTTATTAGTCTTCTTCTTAATATCACAGTTCTTCATCATGGTTTAATGAATTTGATACAAAACAACTCATTGACACAAGAAGAACGAAATCGAACGGGTAACATGTCAACAACAGCGCGTTTCTAAGCAGTGTCTTTCTTGCTAATTAGCAACAAAACACCCCAAAACATAAACATGACGTTTTTTTTTTTCTTTAAGGGTATTTCTCAGGAGAATGAATGCAGCATCTGTTTGCTAAGAGACACAGAGATGAGAGGAAAAGAAACTTTCCATCTTGATGAAAAGAAGTGTGCGGTGTTTATACAAAACAGAATGCATTATGAGACGTTTTCCTCACTTGGTCATTGGTATATCCAAGCACCAATATTAACTAGTGTTGCACTGATACCGATACCAGTATTGGGCGGGGCCCCGATCCAGCACTAAAATGGTGGTATCGATATCAGAGAGTACCAACAAATAGGGCACCGATACCATTTTGAGAGGCAAAAGTTTATTAAACTATTGTCACCCATTCAAGGTAGTAACGTCACCACATGCTCGTCTGGAGCTGCATTTCACCTCCTGCTATTAGTCGTCTCTATATAATAATAAATTATTACTTTTTTCGTTTAGTGGGGGAATAATAATTAACACAGTCAGATAAAAACAAATCAAATGAACATTTTGCCAAATAAAACAAAAATATGGCCATCAGAGCCAGTGGTCCTTCACACACAGCTATGCCGAGAGAGGGCTGCTGCGGACGGGCTGCGGTTAGCCCTGGCTGCCGTTAGCCTCGGAGGTCAGCTGGTTACCCTGGTCCTCTCCACTTTGAAACATTTTTTTTTAAATATGCATTAAATTGGTCAATGTACCATATAGTGACGCTTTAAAGTATAATATTCGCACCTCAAATGATCTTAAAATGTACTTTTATTGAACAACAGCAACAGAAAAGAGACATTTTTTGAAAGCTGCTGCTGCCACAGTGCATCCTGGGACAGCTGTCAATCTCAACAACGGACAACTCTGCTCTGATAATGGATGCATACGGGGAGTGGTGGCCTAGTGGTTAGGGAATAGGGCTTTGAATCCTGAGGTTGTGAGTTTGATCCCCCACTCCCACAGCCTTCCACTCTGGCTCCCTGAGCAAGTCCCTTAACCCCAGTGCTCACATCTCTCTATGAGAAAGAAAAAAAACAATAAAAGCTGTCTGAGAATCACCTCTGAATGGCCTCAGCCAGTTATAACCTGTCCTGCAGTCTTTGACGTGGCTGCATTTTCTTTTGAAATTTAGTTTCCATCCCATCTTGTAGGGGAGTGTTGGCCTAGTGGTTAAAGCAGTGTGCTAATGCTCTGAAAAGGATGCAAGTACTCGGTTCGATCCCCACAGCCTCCACTCTGGGTTCCTGAGCAAAACCCTTAACCCCAGTTTGCTCCCTGGGCGCCGAATAATGGCAGCCCACTGCTATCCAAAGATGGGATTGGTTAAATGCAGAGAATTCATGTCGTTGCTCTGTACTTGTGTCAGTGGAAAGACAATAAAGTTGAATTCTATTATACTGGGTAAATATGGAGGAGCGAGAACAACATCTGTTCTTGTGCATTGGATCAGTACTAGAGCTGAAGCTGATGACGTTTCACGAGTACACAAGCACATGAGAACGCACAAGTACACATATTGAGAAACAACTCTGGATTCACTTTGTATTAGTCTTTTTCCTGCCTCACAAAGGTAGGCAGCAGCTTGACAAAGCCATGATAGCAATTACCGTAAATTCTCTAATATTGGCCTGTATTCCATTAGCGGCCGGGACTCTAACATTGGCCGGTCTCGCTGTCAGAGGAGCTAAATAATGGCCGGTCTCTAATACAGGCCGGGGCTATAAACGTTTTTTCTGGGCATACCTCAACATTATACTTGTGGTAGTAACATACAAGTACCACAGCCCTGCGCAGCTGGACGACAGGCCCTGACTGCTGCCCGTCTGCGCGAGGAAGAGAACAGACACGCAGCAGAACAGGAGGAGGAGCGCGAGTGATGAGGAGATTAAAGGGAGAGATGAAGAGGAGGAGGAAACTGAGGAGAATTAAACAGAATTGGAGGATTTTTTTTTCTTTTTTAATTCAAACCAAGCGAGACATGGTAACTGTACTTTTTCAATAAATGAACCTAGTGTTTTATAGGTTCAAATAGACACAAAATCTCATTTTTATTCATTCCACTGGTAGTCTGTTTTGCTCAAATAGCAATAGAGGCCTGTCTCTAATTCTGGCCCCCTTCCAATAAAGGCCTGGACCGCGATGCACTTGAGTGAAATAAAGGCCCGGGCCTATATTAGAGGATTTACGGTATTTTTCATACAAGTAGTATGTAGTTCTTCATATATACAAACACATATAAATTTCAAACAGATGGTATCTGTATCAGCCAATACTGCACAGACAGGTATCAGATATCGGTATTGGGGCCAAATTTCAGACAAAAAAACAAAGATATTAAAAAGCACACGGAAGATAAAAACTGTTTATATTAATTGCTTAACTCTGCTTTCACACATTTCAACGTGTGAAAAGAATTAAATGGAAAAGCCGATACTCAGCACTGGAGGCTGGCTTTGGAAATTGTCTGAAGATTAAAGCACAGAAATCAGTTCATGCAAATAAAACTTAAGAAGTATAAACTGCAGAGAAGGTAACGCTGAAAGAAAACAGAAATAAAATAAGGGAAAATATCAATCAATAAGAAAACTAAAAGCTCTACCTTTAATCTACGGTGAGTCCAAAAAGTAGCACCTCCTACCAGAACTGTTTCGGGGTATTTTTCTACCAGCTTTTGTCTGTTTTTCATATCCGATTAGCTGCCTCATGCCTCGAGTGAAGTCAGCAGAAACATGTGAAGCTTATTTTTAGGAGGGTAAGATTTCTATCGTGATTAAATAAAGATTCACAGCAAAACGCTAAAAGAAATAAACCGACGAAATCATGTTTTTCTTCTGATGAAAAACATATTTAAAGAGAATTAGTTCAATTTTACTAGAAAATATGTTGATGGTTTTAAAAGGAACTAAAAACCAGAGCAAAGGGAAAAACAGTTAGATCCAGTAAGGGACCGCCCAGCCGTGCACATCAGAGCCTGTTTACACTCTGTGGGGCTACTACAATCACTTACTGCAGGAAAAACAAGCGCTTTTCACTTTGAGCTGCTGGCCAAGAAAAAGCCACCTCTGCCTCTGTCCTGTAGAGAGGAAGATTTTTAGATCATCCCTCTCCCACAACCAAGGAATCCGACAACAAAGCAGCAGAGAGAAAATTACCAGAATATGCAGGAGAAAATACATTGGAGCTGAAAAGGTTTGTCAAATAAAAGGCTTTGAATTGTGAAGCATTATCTCGTTTCTGTGCCGCGGACGGCACTGAATGTACAATAAAACCTAAAGAGATGATTGCTGTGTGTCGCAAACAAGATCTTTAATCAGGAAGATCAGAAATCAACTAGCTCAACTTTTAAAGCTTACACCTGCAGATGAGTTTGGGGAGGTAGGATGGATTAGGTGAGAGAGAATGGAAGCAGGCAGACAGCTACAGACTGAAACAAAAAGACAAACACAGACATAAAGCCAAAAAAAAGGAAGCTCTCCAGCCTTAAGTCTACATTCCTCAGCCCTGATGCCTGAAGAATCCTGGGATCCTAAACCTATACAGTCATCCGCTGCCTAAATCCCTGCAAACAAACCCTTCAGCCCAGGAGAGACAGTGGGATATGCAGCACAGGTGGTATCAGGTGCCTCCCAGCAGAGACAGGTGGAGATGCAGAATAGATTAAAGCAGAATGGATATTCTGAGCCATTTTTAAGTCTCAATGCTTGCGAAGGAAGTGATTCATTCGTTGCAGGAAATGAGAAAAAAAAAACCCACACCTGTTAAGCCGCATAAAAAGGTGAGCAGAACTGATGAGGAAGAAGGATCCCGTAGTTTGGCGTCTCATTTTCTCCAATCTGATCTTTTTGACAAAAAAGTAGAGCTTTTTAAAGTCCAATTGTTTCCAACAACTGTTTGGATTTTCTACCAGTTGGTTTAAACTGTTCTGTGATTGTACATAGATTTTCTTCCTGAATTGGAGACCAGCACAAGAATGATGTCAAGTGTGTTTGGAGAAAAATATACAGAACCAAAACTTTGCTGGATTCCAAGTATTATGAACTGTATATACAGTTGATCACTAACTGTCTGGATGAGGATTTTAAGGATTTCATCAACTCTGTTTCAGACTTTTCTAATTTCTATGCGTTGCTACCCCATCTAGCTTTGCTTTTCTCAGCTTCACCTTTTTCAGCCAGAGAGGATTTGCATCCCTTTAACATTTCCATAGTTTTCCACATAATTAATTGGACTTTTCTGTGTTGCACAAAGAGAAACTGATGCCTTGTTGTCAAATGCAAAGAAAACAAGACAAAATTTTCAACAAAATATGAAATGCATTAGGGATCGGCCCGTCTTCGTCAATACTTTTCAATTACACCTGCAACTTTGCACATCTGGCCACTGAAATCTCTTCATCACATAACATCACTGGCTTATTCAGACTGAATGAACAGAAATGTATCGCCCAGAGCAGAATGCTGCCACCACCATATTTCACTGTGTGATGGGGTTTTCAGGATGTTTCAAAAAGCATTAATACAGGCTGTAAGGCATAACTTTATTCTCTTCCAAATGCTTGTTTTCTCCTCTAAATGATTCTTTCCAGCCACAACCATAAAATCCTGTTAGAAAAGTGCATTTTTCCAGACAGAGCAGGAAATGTTTGTAACTCAAACATGTTTGGTGTATATTTTTATAGCATAGTAGTTCTTACACCTTTTTTTCACAAATTAATCACCATCTCTGCTATGTTCCTTCATCTGCAATCTTCTCTAAAGAACCTCTCAGGCTTTTAAATTTATACAGAGATTATAATCCAAGCAAGTGGACATTTTTAATAACCTGACATTACAGCGGTAGTTTTCACGAAAATGGACTGAATGTTTAAAATGTATAGTGCACTTCAAAATTCTTCATATGTAACAAAAAAAAGTTAGACTAAATTCTTCACCTGAATACTTCACCATTATTCAATACTTGCATAAAACTGTGAGCTAAAACAACGAGAAAAAGTTCAAGGGCTTTAAATATTTAATAAGGCACATTAAAATGTGTTAAAAAGTTTTTAAACTTGGATGAGCTGCTGTTTGTTTAAGATTATTTCTGTTTACAAGATGCTTAAAAGTATATATGGTCCTCAGAAATAGTTTGTATACATACCAGAAAGCACCACCTCAATGAGATCCCCTTCATGGATGTCTTCCACCGAGGTCAGCCTCTGCAGTATGTTCTCGTCATTTAGGTCATGGCGGAACAGCAGGATCTTGTCATACATGCCGAAGAAGCCACACTCTGGGAACTGAGGACAATAACCAAACATCAACACAATAAGATCAGAATGTTTTTTTTAAGTTGTTGACATTTTAATGTGCATTTTTTTACTACATGTTTTTGTTTATGCGGTTCTTTCTCACAACCTGTGCCAAAGTGAAACTCATATGGTGCAATTCCAGAGGCTTACATCACCATGTATAGAGGTACAGGAGGATACTGAACAAGAATGACTCAGGAAATGCACCCCTGCTCAGGCCTCCTTTCCTCATTTCAGAGGAATTTTCACTATAAGGTATGAGGAAATGCAACTCAAAGGGCTCCCATTTTTAAGACACAAACCAAGTCATAAAGGATGAATGTCAGATTTTTCTATAAGCAGATCTTCAATATGCCAAAGAACAAACATGCTGCTGTGATCCTAAGGACAAAAACTAACATGAAACTAAATCACATACAGATTTCTACACCAGGGCTAATTCTGGGTGCATATGAAATACCTGTGATTAAATAATTTCCCCTTGTTGGATTGTTATGCCTGTTTTACATTTTATTTTTGCTCTTATGTTACTAAAGAAAACAGTTTGTTAATATTTAGCATAACAAGCTTTAGTTACAATGATTGAAACAATATATACTCTATGTAATGTGTACAATATACTCCATTGTTTAAGCTTCCAGTTTGGTTATATAAGCTGCTGTTGGAATGCAGCAATGTGAAAGACCTGCTTTATATCTGAATGCTTGGCATATATTAATTTAATTGAGGATTAATACATGTTCTTCCTTATAGTCATAGTACAAGACTTTAAGACAAAGTCATGTAAATAACAAACCCTCAGTGTTGTGGAGAATCAGAGCACAGGAAGTGCAACTCCAGTCATGATTGAGTCACGTCCTGCTCTGACGGTAGTTCCTAGTGAACCATGCTGTCATCCTATTCTACATGCAAAAATGTATAGCTATGCTGAACTATTAATACATGTTAAACTTTTCACCATTTAGTAATTTGAACACCAGAAATATCAGCATCTTATATCTGAGTATTATGTGCTGATCAGAGGTCACAGATTAGAGGAATGTGGTCCGAATCCGGACCCACCTGGTGGCTAATCCGGACCCAACCTGATTTAAAACATTTATAAATTATTGCATCTTGACCGACGACAGTGTAAAACTTCACTTGCGCTGCTTCTCCTGTCAATATGGTAAAGCCCTGCAGAGCGTCCGGCACCAGGCTACATGAAACAATTTAGCAATTGAGCTGTGTCAGTCTGGGTTGCTGCTGCTGCTACTTTTAGACACATCAGGAAAACCTGTGGTAAGCCGGGCGATGGGAAAGAAGGAAAAGAAGATGAGAAAAAGTGAAAGAAAGTGTGGACTGCTGGAAGAACTGTGGTGAACTGGTGAAAGAAAAGTGCAATGGTGTGCTCATAGATGACCCTGCACATTTAGAGTATGTTTGGCTCAACCTGCTGCTGTGAAGCAGGATTCTCCACCATGAACAGAATCAAAAATAAATATGGATCCAGGTTCAAAATGAGCACCTTGATTTGTGCTTGAGAATGACTTTGTCGTCATCCACACCCAGGTTTAAAGCCTTGCAGGGCAGCCAGCCCACTTCTCTCATTAAGCCAGAAAAAAGTTCAGGTGTTTTATAAAATATGCGAATCAGGAAATTGTCTATATATCAATCTGGACAATTGTTGTTCTCTACTTCAAAAAACACTTTGGAATTTAAAAGGGAAAAATGTTCTATTTTTTTATATTTATTTTATCTAAAAGTCCTATGTATAACATGGATGCATAAACATCTGTTTTTTATCTTTGTGGTAAATGCTCTTTAAAGTTTATAATTAAAAATGTCTCCGGACCTTTACTGGTTGGTGATTTTCTTTATTTGGAGTTTAGTGGTTACCCCTGATCTAGATCAACACAAAGTGCAGCATAACTGTAAGGTGGAAACCATACAGCTATGTCCACCATTATTCTAACAAATACATTCCCCCATGTTTGATGTTTCATCTGAATAGCTGTTAGGAAACAGCACGCCTTATTTTATTTTTTAACTCATAAGACTTTTTTTTAGGCATTCTTTCAAAAAGGATGATGCGTAAACATGACCTCATGACCGCTTTTTAGGTTAATTTAGCTGTTAATAAACTGAGAGGAGTGATCATAGTGATCTGTATCAGCAGCGCCGTGTCCGTCTCCCTGCCAGCTCCCAGATCACCTTCTCTGATTGGTTGATGTGGCGCATCGAGCAGCAAAAGTTCAGTTCTTCCAACTCAAGCAGCTGCTGCGTTTGAAGCACGTTCCACGTATCAGATGCTTAGAAGCTTGTGAGGTGCTGCTCCTGATGCTCAAAACGCGCTGCAGGACGTTTTGCGGCGCCTTGATGCGTGTCAACCATTGACTTTCCATGTAAACTAGCTGCTTCTGCTGCCTTTGCTGCTTTAGAGGTGAACATAGCATGAGTCGTGCTACGGTCAGGGTTTTTATCCACCAACTATTAGAAGCACTATCCTGTGATCTTAAGAGCTTAGGTAATGGTTAGTCTTTGCAGCTTCTGGGAAAAAAAAAAAGATTTAACCCCTCCTGAAAAACTAAGCTTAATCGAAAAAGTTGCTTCATAATTGATACTTATAGAATGAAAGTTGTAGTTTCCTACTGATTTTATTATCAGCACATCTTTACCCTCTAAAATGCTTCATACTGTATTAAACAACTATTATTACCACATATTTTATAGACTGAGAGGCTGATTGTTTTTAAATGTCTAAAAACTTTATCTCTAAGCCGCCTGATGTGCTCCTTGGTCTTCAGGATGCTGATTGTTCTCTGATTTTCTGTAACAAACCCCTGAAGCCTTTAGACAACAGCAGTATTTACACAGAGACTAAATCACATGCAGGTGGACTCTATTTACCAATTAGGTGACTTCTGAAGGCGGTTTCTTGCCAAACCCTTTTTTTTTTATTTCAAACTAATTTAAATGTGCTGCTGTTCTCTTCTTGAAACAGCAACACATTTGCACACCTGACTGTACGGAAAACACCCCAAGATGTTTGAATCCAATCTGCATGGTTTTGCAACACACTGGGAACTGGGGGGGGGGGGGGGGGGGGGGGTTACACCATGACATAAGTCCAGCATTGATGCCAAGCAGGCTTATTCTGAGGGATACACCAGCTGTTTCCCCTTGAACTTGGGTCAAGCACAATGGGCAGCAGAGAACAATATCCACGTGGCCTGGGAGCAGCAGAGATTGGCACGGTGTCTGGCTACAGGACGCACAAGACACCTGGGTTCTATGGAGGTGCCAAGAAAAGTCGGATACCAGGGCCGTTTGACCACAGGAGAAACGGGGCTGTTGCAGGTGACTTATAAACAAAGACAAAGCTCCACAAACTACAATGCTCTCTGTGGAATGGAAATATCTTGGTCATCACTGTATAAGACCCATCAATTAACCAGAAACATGCATTTTCTGTTAAAAACCAGAAGGAATTAGCACCAAAAAACAAGATACAACAAACTGAGCCGATCCATTTGTTTTATTCACGTCTTTGCCAATTTTCCTCTTATTGTGATGAAATATATGTTTTTAGGTGATATTATGACCACCTTGAGTAGTCTACCAGAAATTTCTAGGTATTTTCATCAAATACATTTGTTAAACAAGTTTAATCCATCTGTCTTTCTCAGTTATTTCTTCAGAGTCATCTCATGGAATCCATTGCATTTCTAAGAATGCCATAAGCCTTACTAATTAAATTTTCATTTATTGATCTCGCATTGGAGAAATTTACCTCTGCACTTAACCTATCCCCTTGGGAGAAGTGTGCTGCCACCGTTGGCCACCCAGGGGTTAAGGGTCTTGCTCAGAGGCCTAGAGTGGCAGTCTGTGGGAGTGGGGCTCGAACCCATAACCTCAGGATTCCAAGCGTAATGCCCTAACCACTTGGCTGCCACTCCCCAACTCCCCTACTATTTCCAGTGAATCCAGGGTCCACCCTGTGGGATCCTACCAGTGGGATCATTACAAAACATTTGATTTGAAAGGCATCTACGTGGAAGGAACTTTAAGTGGCTCCTTTAGATAAGAAGCAGCTAAACTAAAGCCTTCCTCTGAAAGGCTAAGCCCACGAACCAAAACAGCAGAATGGTTTAGCAACCAATGACTGGACCGCTAAGGCAACTGGCTGTCTAACACTTATCCTGGCCATGGCACAGCAGAAACCAAAGGTGAAGAAGACCAATCCACAAGCCCTTTGAGTGAGCCTCCCAAAGAGACTGTCTCCAGAATGATTCCTTAGAAACCCTTTGGTTAAAGGAATAGTCTGGTCAGCATGACATAATCAACGGATCATTATCTATATCTAAAACTAATACATTCGCAGTGATCGAATGAATTTAGCGCAGTAGTGTTCTTTGGCAAACACGGATTTCTCTAGTAAAGCACATTCAAATGAAAATTACTCTTCATTAAAAACACTTATCATTTATTGAACAGTATGTAATAATTTCATATTTAAAGTACTTTCAGAAGTTTAAATTCTGAATATGTGCAGACTTTTCCTATAAAGTTATTGTAAAGGTTAAAAGATTTGAATAAATCAGATTTCCAACTGGACACTTACCTAGGGCCGAATGCTCCTTGACAATATGGTTTCTGAGATTTATGGCATCGGAGCTAATGCATAACAACAGGTCGCTTCCGAAAGGAATCGCTTTACAATCTTGCAAGAAATTTTTGTCAACTTAAATATAATTAAATGCATCCTAAGGACATCAAGTTTTGAGTCAGGCTGAAAATCTATGTTTTGAACTTCACTGTATGTATATTTCTAAACTTTCTGGTAAATACGTCATATATTTTAAAGGCTTTTACTGATAAATGTATCAGATTCAGGAATATATTTTGTAGAATCTACATAAAACTAAGATCTGGACACTTCTATGGCTTGAGTAAGAACATCATCATGACACATTATGATCCATTTGCCAATCGTCATGAACTGATCA